ACTCAATATCATCCAAAACCTTCGACAATGAAAACACTAATTATTTGTCAGTTTTAATCAACATTGGTGTTGTGATCTTACCGGAAAAAGATGGGCTTCTGATATCCAATATTTAAGACAAAATAAACATTTTACGATTGGTACACGTCGTGTTCCATAATGCGTTTCAGCGCAATTTGTAACAAGCGACTCGAAGAACGAGGTTGGACATATTCATTCCACAAGTCATGTCAAACGGTGACCCCATATTCTTATCTGGAGAACATGCGCAATAAATTCTATCGGTGTAGACTGGAACAACCAGACGCTAGAGATTGCCATTGGACTGAGACTTCTGGGGTATTTCGCCGAACATAACTGCTTTGAAATTAGAGTAAAAACGGAAACGATTGAATGTAAATCAGTTTATTTACATTCATATTACATTATTATATACGCTGCGACCCATTTGTGTCAATTTTTAGGTCCCAAATATTAGCGATTTAGCTCCTTTAACTTATGGGTTCTCTTATTTTTGTTCAATGTACCTATATATAACAGTCACAATTTTTTCCTCATTTGTAATTTGTATGCTTGATAACGACCAGTGAATTCTTGTCGAAACGTCGTGTGTATATAATATAGTGATTGTTATCCATAGAACTAAGAAAAAAATGATTTTCCTTAAATCACCGACCAAATTCGGAAACAATGCCATATTTCGCCTTTGGAATCAGCCTGCTTTTGAAGTCGATAGTGATTGATGCACCCCTATGGATAGTCAGTTCCACATTCTCAATCAGGTCTATAAATTTCTTGCTTTTTACGTTAGTCCTGACTTTTCAACACTTTATTTGGCTAACGACAGCATTTTATACCATTATGATGTTACAATATGTGAAATGACAAACACTTGTTTGTATTAAAGGGACAGTTTGGGAGATTAGATAAAGAGCGGACAGTTCTTGCTATAATAGTTAACAAATTAGAAAACGAAAATAGAATAATGAAAATTTCAGTCAAATTGCCCCACGCTGAACTGAGATATTAGCTTTTAGATTTTAGGCTAGCCCCGATCATCATAAAAAAAACAAAGTTCCAATTATTCATTCTAGCGTTAATTATTTTTCAAAACATGTATTCCATTCCGCTAAATATCGCAGGCTAGCGATGGCATCAGTAGTTGATTATGGTCTGGATAAGTTAATTAATGTCTAATTAATAATTTAGAAAACATTTCAAGTCTAAGGCTACAGAAAGACTTGCAATATATAGGCAGATTTAGCTCTTGCTTAAAGTATGTTTAAGACCTTTACAGGCCCCAAGCCTTATTATCACTGAAAGATTATGGTGCCCCTCGGGATACAGACAACGTCACACGACAAAATGTCACAGTATAGATAATGCCCACGGAAAAAATGACATGTTAAAGGCCCAATACCACTCTTGTTGTAACAGAATAATATATCCCAATCTTTATTCTGGTCAACAAATTGTACTATTTTACAATATTCCAATTAATTGATGATACAAATTTCATCTTAACACACCTAATTTAAAAAATTGGAAAAATTCAACTAAATGAGTTGAAAAGCCTAACGTAAACCTTTTCAAATGTAGTAATGATGTTAAAGCGTCTTGGACAAAACCGGTAACACAGATTGAAAAGACAAAAACAATGAAAAACTAAATGAAAATTCTTAATTAATTTTTAAATTAAATATTTTAAATATGGCATCTAACAAAGCAGACATTCTGTGGTGCCCCCCCCCCCCATTACCACGATGCCCTAAGCACGTGCTTAATGGTTAATCCAGCATTGAATATAAATATTGTATTACTTATGATACGGTCATCGTCGTTGTTATAGACATGACTTTATTGACTATTTGTTTTAAAGGTAGTGTTAGCAACTTGTGTATCTACATTATATAAATAAATAACAACAGACACACTATAAAACTCTCACGCGCGCGTGCGATAATGTTTCAAACATAAATTCAGGTATTTGAATAAATAGAAAGTACACATAACAGCATATGCCATTATTGATAAGTCAGTAGAAAAAATATCTTTTTTTTTTATCTTTTTCTTTAAATATTGCAACACGATAAAATCATTCATTTTCTTTACACAATTGCCAAAACGATATGGAAATATTGTGTACGATAAAAAACGAAATGGCCTGTAAATCTTAAACCTAAAATGAAATCGATAATAAACACCTTGACGTTCTCAATAATCATGTCGTAAAGTATGTAATTAAACACACGTTTCGGACAGAGGCCAGAAAAACAAATCATTGTATCCATTAGTGACATTTAGCATATGGAAACATAAAAAAACTGACACAGTTATATACGGGACAACAAGCACTGGTTTATTATACTCTAGCACGACGTTTTGATAAGTATCGTCTTATCGTTATCAAACACAATTAAATGTTTTAAATATTAAATATATACTGGTTTTAACCAACGAACAAGTTTAACGGAAATGTTTTTAGTTAAGTTCCTTTGCGATATTTCTACCTTTGAATCTCAGCCATGTTGTCACCAGAACAATGTAAATGATCTTACATATTATATTAAGATAGCCACGCAAAACCAGGAAACACGCCCATTCAGCAGATTTGCCTAGTTTATAAGCATTGACAGCAGCTTATCCAAAAAGAAAATGTGGATGTTGATCTTATTTGATAACGCTGCCTTTGAGAAATTTCTGTCGTGTTCACAAGCTTTTCCGGACTAACAAAATGTCCAAAAATTCTGAAAATCAATATGGTTCATCCACTCAGATCCCAATGCTTCACAGTCCCAATGCTTCACACCAAGTTTAAATTAAAAACAAAATCTGTTAAAAATAGCCTCTAACACGATAACATCTGTCAGTACCTCATTATAAGGTCCATGGTGTTATTATTGTCTTCATACCAGGCCATTTTGTGAACCTCCATTGAAATCACCAGAAATGAACCAAACTGGCTAGAGGACAGTCACCAAGTCCAGGGCCAGTTTATGGCACATTTGATCAATTTCTCCAAATTGGGCCCTGCACTAGATAAGGCCCCCGCGCACACCAACTTAAAAATTTTTACAGACAATCTGGCAGCAATGTTTTCATATCCTGTAACCGTCTTCATTAGCCCAGTCGGAGCAGAACTGTAGGACGTTAAATCCCATTTCATTTCATTTCATATCCTGTAACTTCGGGCCTCCCAAATGGGACCCCGCATTTTCTACAACCGGTTCTGCATCAAGTACCTGCAACTGAAAGGAGCAACCCCAACACAGATACACGCTGACATGGTCTTCAAACTTTAGGGGGTGATGCCCCTTCCTTTTCCTCAGTAAATAAGTGGGCTGCGGAATTTAAGCGTGGCAGAGAGAGCCTTGACGACGACTCGCGTACTGGAAGGCAGGGGCTAAGTGAGAGGGGGTTTTGGCGCCCCTTGAATTTTTGCGCCCACTCGCAAATGGCAAAACAAATCACGCGGTTTTAATGCGGTTTTCAACATTAGAATCATAAGCATAACGAAATGAAATGGGGTTTAACGTCCTACTATTCTGCTTCTAAACTGGGCTAATGAAGACGGGCATACGCCAGTGTGATATGAGGGAAATTTTGCCCGGGCAGCGGCGCTACGGCCTATTCTTATATCGAATTCCAACTGCCAAGGGATCTTTTACGTGTCACGCCAATGTGTACACGGGACTTCGGTTTTTCGTCCCATCCGAACGACTAGACAGCTGTCCTTGTCTGGCCCTCCGTCCTTCATATTTCGAGAATAGATCTCTGCACTAAATGGCCGCCATATCCAAAAATTAGTATACTGTTTTGTAATGCGGTTCTACTCTGTTTCACATCTGTCATACACACAAAGACTGAATAAACTTTTTCAATTGTATTAAATGGAAGCAGAATGAATTCTTAACCAAATTCTCGAATTATACTTAGTGTTTTCGACTAAAATCGTCGATTTAGGAATTAAAATGTCGGTCAACTAGCTTAGTGTCTGTTCTCAAGCGGAGCTAACTGTAGACAGGTAGCCTGTGTTTAGTATGTAGATTTAGTTGGACGATGGAAGAGTTTAGGGTTATGACAGTAGACCTAGTTGGACAGTGGAAGAGTTTTTGTTATATGACAGTTGATATAGTTGAGCTTTTTACGCGTAGACGAAGGGCGACGTTGCAAGGTAGTCATCTTGATTGACAACTTGCAGTACAGATTACATTTGCGACATCTACTAGGCCGGTTGCAGTCACCTGTCATTAATATTACCCAATCACTGAATTCTCACTTGTAGTAAGAAGAAAACAAGATGCTTTCCCATAATTTCCTGAGAATTGGCCTGGTTGAAATTTCAGAACATAAGTAATATGGAATAAATTGTTTTGATGACAATATTTAGTAACTGGAAATACACAGGATACAATTACTGTGTATTACTGAGCAACATTTCATATAGGATTCTCTAGTTTTTATCAAGCAAAAAATACATAGTAATAAACCAAATACTCTGTAAAAAAAATCGTAATTATATTCCACAAAATTGTAAATGAAATGGGGTTTAATGTCCTATTGTTCTACACCGACTGGGCTAATAGAGACAGGCATACACCAAACAGTGTGCTGTGAGAGAAACTTTGCTTACTCTTATTTCGAATTCCAACTGTCAAAGGTTCTTTTATGTGTGCAACATTGTGTTGATGAGATTTCGCTTTTTCTTCTCATCCAAATCAATGTACGTTGTCTTACCACTGACAAGAGGTAACCGCGTAGGAAAATCCTGATAACTTTCTTGGCCAACATCAGCAGCGAACATGGGACTTCTAGGTTAACGAGCCAACATCTTACTCACTGAGCCACCACAGCTCCGTCTACAGAGTTGTTTCAGAATGTAGCTAACTGTAACACGGGTGTACTATTCTCCAGGATTAAATTAAGGTGTTTTCAGTCTGTAATAATGTGTGTTTTTCTTTTTTGTCAATCATCTTGCAATAAAAAGGGAAAAGCACATATATAAATTTTTTATTTAATTTTTTCTAACAAAACTAAAATGGTTATTATCACAGTTACTATCACAGTCAGTTTTATATTATAAACATTAAGCTATATAGTTATCAATGATAATATTTGGATTAGGTGTAAACATAAAAAATTTGAAGATGCAGATTACTTTCACTACTTAAAATGCTTCTACATAGAAAATTAAAGTGCATGTATAAAAACATTTTGTACCCAAGGGAGAAAATACATACATGTTAGATAAATGATAAATAAATCGGATTACTAGTATCTTGAATTCTGTTACTATTTACCATAAATATTTTATACAGAATTATGGAAAGAAGACTTGATTATTTTGATTTGAAAATAATGTTCATTTTTTTTTCTGCAGATAACCATATAAAATATTCAAATATGCATCTAAACCAGAAAAGTGTTTTGAAAATAACATGAATACTGGTACTAATCAGATAAACAAAATATTAGAAAATAAAAGCATACTTATTAAATATTTTTGGACGGACTGTGTTATGAAAAATATAGATTCAATACTATGAGGGGTTTTACTTTTTCAACATTCATTGTTTAATGTTTTAAAGGAGCAGTCCCAAATATTTTAGTGACTCAAACATGTAATTTCTGAGCGGAAGACTCTTAGAAAACTTTATTGTAGTCATGTCCAACTATCTGTGGAGCTGTTTGGTATTTTCAGTTTCCATATGCGGGTGGCCATAAGTCTTTTTAAATTCTATGCTATCCATAAGTGTCTGGATGACAAAGTCTATATACTTATTAAGTTATAGTTGTAAATGAATGTTGTGATCATCAAGTCACTCAAGCAACTAAACAATGGAATTCTTTAAGTGAATTGCACAATCACTTCCGAATGGCCCAATGTTTTGAGCCGAATTTTTTAGACAAGCTATGAGGATTATTTCTCAGCATTTTGACGATTAATTTGTATACTTGAACAGACTTTTATCAAAATGTACACTTTGAAATCTCAGACATCTCCTTTAATATAGGGTACATTAAATAGAATAGCTTCTGTTGTCACAAGAAATTCCATCTTCATAACTTGCAGAAATAAACATAATTTGTTTTAAACCTTCTGTAAATAAGTTTTAACTTGTAAAACTATTTTTATCAAGTTCAATAATGGTAGCCATTCTATGCTTTTTATCATGTAACACATAAATATGTAAGACTCCATAAATGCCAATTTTGGAGTTTTTTTGGCAATTTGTGCAAACTTATTCCCAGGCTGAAAACTAACATATTGTCATTATTATGTAACATGTTAACGTTCACACATGGAATAAATTACAACTAAATTTAGATACATTTTGTTTTAATCAAATAATCCTCAAGCTTCAAACATGGGCAGGATTTTGACAATCTTGTAACAATTTTCTTCCCTGCCATTTTTTGACCTTTTGAAACATTTTTAACTTCGTTCAAGATTGTTGTAGATTTTTCACACATTTTCAATTTTAAAAACTTCTAAAAACTTGTTTCATGTACATCATAACAATGTTACAAATTACAATCAAAACTCACATCTTGGAATGTTTTGTCTTGTTTATTTGAAAAAGACAATTATTTGATATAACTTGATTTTAAAAAAATCAAATGCTATATTCAGCAAGACGTTTTATCTAAGGACATATTCAGTCTATCCATTAAGATGGCGCATTTGTAACAGATTGCTAGTTTGGTAACAGAAATAAGGAAGGTGAGAACAAAAACAGTAGGTTTTACAGGGCACATTAATCTTGATTAATCTGGCCCAAATTGTCCCCACTTTGACTGCAACGGTTATTGATATGTCCAAACAAAGGTGAAATGTCTATACAATAATATACAGTAAAAGAAATTACTGTACGTTGCGTTATCCGTTGAGGCAAATAATGACCATCACCTGGTGAATTGAGACAATATCTCCCAGAAGTCATTGCATAGAATGTATGCGCCAAAACTCAGACAACTAGGTACAATATACAACATTGATGCTATTTTTTCAAGACCAATATTTGTTAAAGTCAAGTGAAGACAATTTGGACTGGAATGATTGAGACCAGGAGAACATGAAATATGACAGTAAATACTATATGACAGATTACAAATAAAGACTAATTTGACAATATGTATAAAATCACAATATAATAAAAACAGCACTATGGAGTATGAATATCACAGAAATATCAACACAACAGACTACTTTTCACGAGGTTTAACCAATGGTGGCATTCCTCGAGAATATCGTACATGTTTAGTTTCGCTTGAGGGTTTTGAAATTGGTGGTGAAGATGGCTTGGTTGGTTCTTTATTGGACGGACATGATGTTGTTTGTTCTAATTTACTGAATTTTACTTTACCACTCCCTAAAAATATAAATATTATCATTATTGTTTGGAACAAATCCTGAACATGGATTTAATACCATCTAATGCTTAAATCAAAACAATTAATCAAAACTTCTTAACTTACAGTATGGGAGTTCATATTTGGATAGATTATAACTAGCTCAATGTTGGATTAACATGAAATAATTTTTTTTTGATAATTTCATTTGCACACACAGATTTGAATCAGTGTTATTACATTATATACATAACCCAGAAAAAGAAAATGATGTCACACAGGTGACCATATCCTTGTTATATGATAACTTACCCGGTTTTCAAAGGCTCAAACTCAAATAACAACACAATCAGTCAGTTGAGATTTTATAAATTAATTTCACATCATATGCAGAGCTTTAACTCATCCAACATATTATGCCTGATTTTAGCCTAGTACAGTCATCATCAATAAAGTACAGTCATCAACAATCAAGTAGAGTCATCATTAATCAAGTAGAGTCATCATCAATCAAGTACAGTCATCATTAATCAAGTACAATCATCATCAATGAAGAATGTTTAGTAATTTACCTGATGTTGGAGATGGTGATTCTCTGTTTTCTGATTTTCCTTCCTTTACATTATCACTGTGGGAACTGCAAAAATATAAAGCATATGATCCTTTTTTTATAGCATATATTTCAACATAATTTTAGGAATCACCTTGTTATTGATCATCAAGGTATTGACCTACTCTAAGTGCAAACGTTAATACTCATTTGAAACTGATCTAAAATGCTGCTTCCATTTTAATAATAAAAGCATTTGGATCTCATTTTTACAGAAAAGTCAAGAAGATATTGAGCAACAATCACCTTTTTGATATAGTTGTATTATCATCTGATCGTGTTGTTGTTTTACGACCCGCTACCGTGGTTTGTTCTGATATAGACTGAGCAGAAGTGGATCTTTGTGGAGGCTGTTGAGGTGTATCTTTATCAGTACCTGTAACAATAATAAAAAATAATATAATTAAATATATTCCAGTAGCATATATGCAATGTAGGAAGTCTGCAAAACTCAACTAAGAAAGAATACAAATCAAAATTGAGTTTTGTATCTTATCATAATTTAGTTTAAATTTGGAACTTCTACAGCTCTTCATGTTATAGATTTCACTTTTCTGCTCAATCATGAGTATTCTAAATACAGATTTACATCGTAAGTTATAAAAAAAAGTTGTCTGTTCAAATATTAACAGTCGTCTGTCCAGGATGTAAAATAATTGTAATAGAGTCAGAAATGTCAATTGTTGAATCAATAAAGCCATATAATCTATCAAAATAATAAAACTAAACCCAAACTTGCTGACCACCATGAAAATAAACAGCTTAAATGACCTTCCAAAAATGTTACTGATTGATAAACAATGCTTTGAAGTTGCTGCATGCTGATTGGGAATGTTTTGAATCTAAACAACCCACTCATCCCTCACAATTAGAATTACTGGTACTCTTAATATACTGTGACCCTTCACCTCTGTATCTAGACAGGACAGATGGAATAAAGTACCATTAGGTGCAATATAGGTCAGATAAAACAAGTGATGAGTAAGAAACAATTCTTTGAATATTAGAAGCAAAGAGTTTAAAACTGGTAGAACAGTGCAGATAAGTAAAATATTCTAGATACTGAAAAAGCATTAGTACCCTGGTGACAGGGTGTAAAATTTATTTATATTGATTCGAATTGTGTGTTTTGTTTTTGGTCCATAAACAGGTATTATTTCGTAAAAATAGAACACAAAATATTTTTTTAATTAGAAAGAACAGAACTATTACAACTGCAAAATCCAATACTAAGGCAATGCAGAAAGTGTTGTTTTTTTCTTAAACAAAAGTAAATTTGGCAAAGTAGAAAATGCCATAAAATATCCATTTACCATTGAAAGTTTTTGGACAATGATTTGTCAAAATAATCTCAGTTGGAACTTTCCATATTTAACTATGGGGTCTTTTACTACTGGTATATAAAATAAATAAACTCTTTCCAAACAAATATTAAACTCTCGTTTCTCTTGCCATTTTATATATGGTGCCTGGAAAGCTATATATTGATGAAAATCAACATGTAGAACAATTCCAATCCAGGTATCTGAATAATGATCGCAACTCTGTGAAAGCCAAACAATATGTTTTCTGCAAGGGGATACAAAACCACAATGACAAGAATCTGGATATGCAAATTTTTTGCCCCAAAATACATTTTTGATGTAAACAAGATCTGAGCCAGGGGATATAAAAATTCTACATCACAAACAAACAGAAAGAATAAAATATGGGAAGGAATGGATGGAATCGCATTATTCCGCTAGTCTGTGAGAAACCCAGAGTGTTGATAATGTCAGATAAAAAGTTAAAAGAATAAAGAATTATACCAAGATATAATACCTCCATATGTAACAAGTGCCTACAACATCTTTAACAGTTTAAAACTAGTTAAACCACAGTGCAAGGATTTACCACAGAGTATAGAATTCATAAACAGATCATCAATCAGGGCGTGGCAGTAAGGCAAAAAAACAGTTTATCACTCTCATTAAAAGTAGCTTCTACAAGTTTATTTCTGTAGCAAAATAAGTTAAAACCAGTTTTGCTATAATTGAAATTTCTTCTGGAAAAAGAGGCAATCACTAGTCTGTCATAGTTGTAACCAAAACTTTTAAATGTTTTTCTTAAAGTAAAAATACCTAATTGTAATGGGCCCAATAGTAAAGGAGATATCTTGTGTATATTTCAAAGAATAGAACTGGTGAATTATGTGTGGAAAACTGTTAGCATGCTTTATTCTAGTCACAATTAACAATAGGAGTACAAAGTTGTCCAGTGTCCTGTATTAAAACAAAAAGGTGGAACTGCAACGTGGCAATTTGATTGGCAGTGAAGTTTCACCTAACAGATTGGAGACTATTAAAGGAAATATCTTACAGATATACTTGACTGCGATATCACTTCGGTGGAAGCGGACATTAATGTAGCTAAGTCTCTAACTCATTCTTATCCAAAGTCTTCGACATTGAAACCACAAATTATTTGTCAGTTTAAATCAACATTGATGTTGTGATCTTACCGGGAAAAGATGGGCTTCTGATATCCAATATCTACGACAAAATAAACATTTTAGCTTTAGTACACGATTCGTGCACCATAACGCGTTTCAGCGCCATTTGTAACAAAGGACTCGAAGAACGAGGCTAGACATATACCACGAGGCATATAGCGTCACCATTTGACATGACTTGTGGAATATGTCTAGCCGCGTTCTTTGATTCCCTTCTTCCAAATGGTGCTGAAACACATTATGGTACACGATTCGTGTACCAATGGTAAAATATTTATTTTGTCTTGAATATTGGATATCAGAAGCCCATCTTTTCCCTGTAAGATCACAAGACCAATGTTGATTTGAATTGACCAATAATTTGTGTTTTCAATGTCGAAGATTTTTGATGATATTGAGTTAGAGACTTAGCTACTTTAAATAAAGCTATTTCACACACAGAGATATATGTCATTTTGGGTAAAACTGGTCAATTCTGTGTTAAAGGCTCTCAGATCCGCGTCTAGTCCCAAGTAACTTTCTGATCCTTAGTCGAAGAAATATCAACGTATAGATGTCCGGTTGAGTTGGAGACAACATTCTTGACTAGCATTCACTTTGCGTCTGGATAAACCCATCTTTAACCAAGACATATGCACAATGACATCTTTCCACTATACATGTACTTTCTCCCTCCAGAATTAGCAGGTTATTTCTGCGTTTTCCCTTGATGTCTGTTTATTACATAACATACAGCAAATCATAATTATATAGATTAATTCCACCTTTCCAATGATATTAAAACACATTATAAAACATGTGATAATCATTGTCCACGAAACCTTCCATATTTCAAGAGGCCATAACTCACATTGTGAAAATGTCAAATTATTACGCAGGCGGACTTCTCACGGAATATAAATAACACCATCTCCTGCCCCATGTGACCCCTATAAACATTAACTAAGTGGTAACAAAGTGGGGCTTGATTGAAAACAGATATTTGTATTATTCTATCCCAGATGATCAAATTCTTATCATCAAAACAAAATATGCAAACAGAGAAAGAAAATAGACAATGAAATGTAAAATATTGTACATATAGAAACATGTGAGCTTTAATCAAATAAATATAGATATATAATGTATATCATATTCATAGTTCTGGTATTCAGGAAAATTTAAAACATACTTCCACAAAAATCCCCAGAATAATTCCACATGTACATTTAAAAAATGCTGAATTCGAATTATCATTTACGTTCACAAGGAACATAAATTTAACATCTGAATATATTGAATAAACAAGAACTAGAAATCACTAACCACAGCATAGAACAAACGAAGAGTGAAAAGAAAAAAGGGATAAGAAAATCAAAAGGAAATGTCCATCATCATACCAAAAGATAAAAAACAAATGGGAATGTCATGGAGACATTAAATAACATTAGATTTCCTGTATATTTAGAAATCAACAATAAAGGATTAAAGAAGTCTTAGAGCTGTCTGTCCAGTTATTGGCTGTTTGTAAATGTCACGTAAAATAAAGTATATTATATTGACAGTCTGTTGGTACCGAGAGTCTCCTCCAGTGTTTGTGTTTTTTTTATCTTTAAGTTAGGGACATGTGGTATTAGATTTGTAACATTTTCTCGGTCTGAACATGAAAGGATTGCGCAGCGTAAGAAAAATAAACGTATGAAATGTGGCGACTGAAACCAATTGATAAAGAAAAGACATCTTTAATTATAACCACAGGCTACATGTTGATACATTTCAGGCCACATTTGTTTAATCCTGACATCAATTAATCCCCTGTGTTTTACTTCGCTGCAGAAATTTCAATGATGCTTTCAGGAAATCATGTGATAGAAAAATGATCGCTTATAACCCATTTTATACATTAATATCTTTCTGTTTTTAATAATTCAATTTCCATTTATTTGTTTTACTGGACATTATGGGTTGAATTTCCCGTTTTTTTCTGGCCTCGTGTTTATTTTTATTAGGAAATGTTTTGAGGTTGAAATGTTGTTCCTGTTTTTAAACTAACAGCGGACATTTTTAACATTGATCTAGACCCTGAAGGGTGACCACTTGGACAACATATGGACAGGAAGAGTTAACTATATGAAAAAAAACTTTGCAGTTTTTGAACAATAACATTGGTTATTTTATTAAACCCCGACTGAATTTAGGTATAAGCCTATCCTGTACAAATTTAACACTTGATTTCATTGATGAATTCATTGAATTACTCTTTTGTTAGTCTTAAAAAAGTAACTAAGTATACATGACACCATCTGAATGGAAACATCCACCACAGACAGGAATAATTCCCAAATCCCACATCAGATCAAGAAACTTTGACATTTTGGTGTAAATGTACTTAACAAGAATCTCAGAAGGATCAAAAAACTTCTGCCTGGTAAGCTTTTAGCTTAAATCCATTTTTTTAAAAAATGCACACATGTAGCTTGACAAGTGGTTTCAAACTTGTGTGTGAAGTGCTTTTGCCTTTTCATTGGGTTTATTTTGTTAACGTGTGTAACCAGGTCTTGCCTGTTGACCAGACGACAATGTTGCCGCCCAGAAACTATGTATTGGATGCCTCTGGGGAATTAAAACTGCAAGTTTGTGTAAAATGCATGTGTTTTGTACAATTTGAAAACATGTAAATGTATATTGTTTTACCATCTACCCATAGGTTCAACAAAATTTGGAGTATTTTATGTGAAAACAGAAAACTGGGTGTTGCCCAGGCAATGGCTCTTAAGGAGAGGAGCACTAGAAATCTATAAAGTTCATATACATTTTATAGGTCATTGATCAAATGTCAACCTGAACATAGAGAACAAAAAATATGTTGAATACTTTATACTGGAGTGGATAAAGTAGTAAACACAAGAGCAAGCATTTCATGCTTTATGCAAAGGATACAAGAGGATTAAAGGACAATATTGGTGCCAGTCATTATCACATATGTGATAGAGCTGGTTGAACACATTCCTAATATAATTTTAACACAGAGATCATTGCTACGATAGCTGAGTAATACAGGTTTCCTGAATCGGAAGTGACGAACGCCAAAGGAAAACACAGTCATCTCTCTATATAACTGACTGATGTGACGAGTGATAACAAATATACGGGCGGATTTCTGCTCACTAATCATACAGCTATTGTAATTAACTTACTCAAATCAGTAACAGAACTAAAGATGCTTTCATTTGTATTATTCATAATATCCTCTTCATCTAAGGCTTTCATATAATTACTATAAGTCCATGTCATTCGATCTTTTTCTTGGTAATCTTCTTCATCAACCACACTTTCTTCATTAAACTTTTTAAAGGGATCAACATATACATCACCTCTAGCTTCAGTTTCTTTTCGAACCTGTCAATAAAATATTAAAATTTAGATGTATAACAAATAATTTGAATAAGTAAAATTTACCTGTACATGTATTCATGTTAGTTTTTTTTTTGACTCTACACTTTTCATAGTCTCTGATGATATGTGTTCTTAGTTGATCAGCCTGTGCATTAAGGCTAAACTACCATTAAAAGGTTATCATTTTCTCTGTGAAATCGTCCAAGGCCTGAGTAAGCACCAGTATTTCTATATTAGTACCTAAGCGCTCATGTTCACTAATGGGCACAACCCCACTGTTGTTTCATTGAATAAATTTTACATGCTAAGATTGTTTCCATTTGAAATAAAAGCTAATGCTTATTAAAAAATTTCCTTGAATGTGTTCTTTCAGTAGTTATATTGATAGACAGTAATCCTGATAAAACCACGGACTAGGAAAACAAAATAGAGCCGTTACCTATCTATAGGGGAAGCCATTTGGCTATACCAGCCCACCCCTTTCACAAATCCTACATACCCGGAAGTTATCTTTTATTCCTGTTTATGTTGTCAGATTCAATTACACAATAAATTCAAAATCAAAACGAAACACTTATTAATAAACAAGACACACGTTGTTATTATGTTAATATAGCCCTGTTCAAATACAAATTCACAACACCAGATACATGTATGAAGAATGTTACACTAGTCTGAACTGAAGATGCATTTGTTGTCAACAATTTTAAAAGCCTTTATTAAAACTATGTTTAGTAAGACAAAAAAAATACAACAAAAAATAATGAACACTTTTTAAAAGGGGTACACAAAAGGAATATATAGTCATAATGGATCAAGGCACAAAACCGCAATAAGCAGGGGAGGTTATTCTTGCTTTCATGTACGGTACCTCACTGTATGACATGGTTTTAGGACGCCAGAAAAATTTATTACTCGCTGGAAAGGGTTTCTAGAATAAGATTGTAAGATTCATAAATAATTACACATACAAAAATGGCTAACAATGAATATCATAAAAATCACTTTCAAACAAATTCAGTAAGTACTAGATTTGAATTGATTTTCTTGTTCAAAATTTGAAAGGAATAAATATAGTGACAGTTGTTGCAAACATGCACTGACACAGAGGTTGGTTTTAGCATTGCCCCATATGTACACTATCTTGTTATAAATTCTCCACTTCTCTACAAATATTTGGAAAGAAAACTTTGAATCTAATCAGAAAAACAAGATAAGAAGTTGTAAATTATATATTTGACTGTTTATACAGTTGTCATGGTATCTACTGTCTAAACAGCTGCTCAAATACTACTTCAAGCCACTTTAACTTTTATTGTAATCAATTTTACATGAGATTGATTTCATTAACTGTGTGCAATCAAATTTTAAGCTCAAAATAGAATTTATTATTTAAAATATTCAATATTGATTTGGGATGTTGGCTGAAAAACACAAATTGGTATCCACTTAAAGCTGTTGATTGTCATTTGTAATTTTTGGACAATATCTAAATTTTCATGGCTTAATCCACATTAAAATTTACTCAGATTGATTATATAACATTTAATTAAGAAAACAAAACCAAAATATCAACAAAAGATAATCCTCTGCCTTGGAATTAATGGAATTAAAATGTTATCTATCAGAAGATTTACTGAACACTTATATATAGGTGGTGCTAGCCTGTTTATATCGTCAGCAGAGAATGCCAAATATTGTGAAATTTTCAATTCATCAGAACTTGGTATATAAGAAAAGAATCATTTTTGGACTGATTCAACTTTCACAAAATTGTACTTTGCAGGGCTTAAAATCCTCCAAATAACCAGCATCAGCTTTAACGCAACAACAAAATTTTATTTTTTAAAATAATTTTTAATTATTCAGTTCTCCAAAATACATATAGAAATATAAACATATGCAATTTACCAAAATGATTTGATTTATCGGTTTTGGCTGTGAGTAGAAAAAAAAAAGAATTTGACTAACAGGAACATAAGTTAAGATTTATATCTACAACATGTCTGTTTCAATAAGTCAAACATGTCAACATAAACCTGCTGTTATTATCAATAGTTAAATGAGCCAACAAATTAAACTTTGACTTCTACCATATCTTTATCAATCATTTCTAATATTTCTCGTTTTATTTGTTTACATGAATTTCTCAGTCTAAAAATATCAGCACATGAATTTCTCAGTCTAAGAATACAAGCACAGTTTATTTATTTCAATATATACATCATGATCACTTCCTTGCCAATAAAATATCTCAGTTTATTTTAAAATTATGTGTTATTAATAAAACTGCATTGTAAATGCAAATTCTTTGCCTTTTTGGCTTTTTTTATAAAGTTCACAAGGTCTTTTTTTTTTGCAATATACTACATGTATTTCCTAAAAAATATTTGAAATGTTCTTTAAAATATTTAAATTGTTATCATTTAATCTCACCTTTTCCATGCGTTCTTCCATTTCTTGCTGTTTTTTCAGTTCCTTTTTCTTGGCATGACGGCGCTGACGTTCAATAGTTGGTAATATTTTATCATCAGCTAAATTACTTCTGAATTCGCAGAAACTTGTCCAATGACCAGATAGAACACGGAAAACAGCCAGCTGAAAATGTTTTGTCAAATAAATTCTTTACAATAACAATAGGATTTAAAAAAAGAAACCCCTGTACAAATTTCTTAGTAGAGAAATTAGATTAATGCACTATTTAATGAATTATTTGAATGTCCATCCTTGAAAGTAGGGGGATGGGGTAAAATGTTCTCATAGGATAGCCTTAAAAATTCTACAGACAGTTGAATAGATTAAAAACACTTATATGGATATACTACTTCTGAATTTATTAACAATAACATGCTACGTTTCAATACACACACAGATATCGTTATTTGCTTGAGAACGATATCTGTATGTGTATCGAAACGTAGCATGTTAATAAATTCAGAAGTAGTATATCCATATAAGTGTTTTTAATTTGTGAAATCTACCTCTAGATGTTTTATATGGATTAAGTTGAATAGATTGCTCTTTACAATTTCTAAAGAAATTGTGGTTGGAAAGCTTGAATAAATTAACTGCAATATGAAAAGTACTGTGAATAAGATATGGTGGTGGACTAGAACATGACAAAAGCTGTCATGAATGAAAATTTTTAAAATGTTCGTCCTCTTTACCTGAGCCTCTCTAAAAAGATATGGACCTCGTTCATGTTTGCGATCTAAGATTTTTTCAGCCATATCATGAGGAATGTCTATCTGAATACTTGGAGGAATCTGTGAGTCTATGAAACAGTTGATAATTGCGTTGATTTTCTGGGCTAGAAGTCCATCATCAGAATGAGCATGGTACATATCCTAAAAAAGAAACCAGATTTAATTATTAACAATTTTTTAGATATTTATCATTATATAAAAACAACCGTTTTAAAATAAAAGTGTTTAGTGAGATAGATTCTACTGATTCACAGGTGGTTAAATGACAGAGAAAAACAATTAGTAATGCTATAGATTATATCATGTCAATGATCTTGATTTGGATGTTTAATAATCAAAAGAAGGGTCATAATCTTTGTCTTGTTTGTCTTTTAATCTGGCTGATTAACAATATACATATTGTTCCTGAAAGTATTAACACAAACCTTATATTTCTGTACTTCCTGCCAGAAAAGGACATTGTTCTCCAGATTATCCCCCTTGATTGAGACATAACGTCGGAACTGATGTGATGTAACAGGATTTAACAAAGCTTTACGTATAGTAACAATTTCCTTTGAAGATGATGTCCAACGACTTTCTAATAACTGAAAGAAGAAATAAAATTTACTAATAATGTACACCCTGATTAGTTATTACTCTTAGAGTCTTATGAGTATTTTTAAAAAGAAAGTCCCCAAAACACAAAAAAAAATTAAAACTGAAATCCATGAAATAAATACATAGGCCCTGTTTCACAAAGCACACAAAAAACATTTCAAATAAAAAACTCTATTAAACTTACATATATCTAACTTTATGTATGAAATGAAATGAAATGGGATTTAAAGTCCAACTGTTCTGCTTCGACTGGGCTAATGAAGATGTGCATATGCCATACAGTGTGCTATGAGGGAAATTTTGCCCGGACAGCGGCACTATAGCCTACTCTTATATCGAATTCCAATTGCCAAGGGATCTTTTACGTGCACGCCAATGTGTACACAGGACCTTGGTTTTTCGTTCCATCCAAGCGACTAGACAGCTGTCCTTGTCAGGCCCTCCATCCTGCACCACTGACAAGGGGAAACCACGCCGGAAAATCGCAATGAACTTTCTCTGCCATCACCAGGAGCGACCTCCAGGCTAGCGAGTCAGTGTCTTACACGCTTAGCCACGGTGGCTCCATTTTATGTGTGCTTTGTGAAATGGCCCAATGTTGGCTTCAAATTATCGAACCAGGCTGTTTTTGCTGGTCGATTTTATACTTTACTACACAAGTTATACAACTAAGCTTAGTATTTTAATCAGAGTTGCATAACTGAGATACTCATGTTAATGTAACATTTAGTAAACAAATAATAGAACTAAACGGAGTATTTTAATAAGTGTGACGTAATTTGGATTCTCTTGTTGAGAATTACTAAACAAATAATAAAACTATTTTAATCACAATTACTAATCAAATGATAAAACTAAGCCAAATATTTTAATCAGGGATATAGTTACTAATCAAATTATAAAACTAAGCCTAGTAATTTAGTCAGTGTAACATGACTGGGATACTCATGTTAATGTTATTATTAGTATCCATAAAAACTTGCCGGATTAAGTCTATTTACTAGAAAGAAACAATTTTTAAAACTGGAAATTGTTCTAGGAAAACAATACTTTTTATAAAAGATAAAATCAATAAGGTTTGTGATTTAAGAATTTTTTTGGTAAAATAAATTGTTCGTAAATGAAATGCATTCTTCATTAGGATATTAAGCAGTACATCAAATAGTTCTCTAAACTGGATTTAACACTTCTAACTTAAAACAATAAAGAATTTGATAACATTTCTCCTTTTTATCTCCACAAATGTGAAAAATAAGTCGAAATAAGTGAGGGAGGGGTGGAAAATTGATGGCTCCCTGGCGCTTATAATCTTAAAGTTGTTATTTCAGCTGCCGTCTGCCCCAGGGAGTCGACAATTTACAAATTACAGCACCTTGTTTGTCATGATCTTCTAGAACAAACTCAAACAAGCCTCAACAAATTTCTATCTGTTATATTCCACAATCTGTTAACTAATGGAAAACTGGGTAGAAAGTAGTTCTTATAAATTCATGTATAATTTTATTATTCGTTAAAGCATGAACAAATTGCATAAACAATTTTCAATTATAGAAAGAAATAGAAAATTTTCTATAAATTGCATAATATAGAAGAAACTAGATTTGCATGAAGTAGGTTTACAAACATATTTGTTGCGACGAATTAATGATTGAATTTGCTGACACTGTATAATTAGTTTTTAAGTCCTAACAATAACAAAATTAACTTTCTACATGATATTTCTACATGAACCTTTAAAATTGAAAGACAGGAAGTCCATCAAAAATATTAAATGAAAAAAAAAAAGTTTTTCATATTTTTGTTCAAGCTATAAAACAAAGGGGAATATTGTAAATAAGCTGTAGCATAAGACAGATGAAACTCAAAATAGCAGTTATTAAATAAAGTTAAAAATATTTTCAGAAAATTGGTGGAATAATTCTTTGGAATAAGTGACAAAAAAAAAAGACAAATATTCCCTTGATCTCAAACAACAGCTGAGGAATTTACATTTTATGTTTTTTTGACAAAAATATCAATTTGTTTCGAACTGTAACAAGCTTTTATGTTTGGTATTTTCTCACAGTTAGTCCTCATATTTTGCTACAGAAATTACTGTGTAACATTTTTATAACATGTGCAGACAAGATGCATAAAATATGTACACATGTTACGAAGAGTAGGGAACGTAAAATATGCCTATTCTGTTTGTAATTATCTAAGCTCTTAACTCTGGGCGATATTTGGAAACAGGTTTTATATACAAAAAAACAGAGATTGTAAATTAATATACTACAACATGTAACTTACAGTTAGTTGTTTCTATTGGTGTTCATACTTAATACCGTCTGCAAATCTTCTCAACTTACATATTTTTTAAACTTACCAGATGAAACTTAAGTATGTTTATGCATGTCCTCCAATGTTTCTTATAAATTTTAAAAACAAATAGGGTTTTGGTGCTTGCATGCTGGTTTTATTATAAAATATTCAAATGTCATACATCGATTCTGTTATCGGTATTGTTACTCATATCAACAAACTGTTCCTACTTTTGACGTTATTTTTTACTTAGCTGTAGAACCGCTGTCAGGGCAAAATTTTCATCAAAGCACTCAACATGGCATATGACCATCTTCATTAGTCCGGATAGATCAGAAAAGTAGGATGTTGAACCTAATTTCATTTTATTTGATTGTACGCTTCAAATTTAAATCTATAGGTTGATAATGCACTTTATTCTTATGATATTCTTATAATCTATGAACCTTTAGGCCCGTTATTTCACAAAGAGGGGAAGTAAATATGGTTGATTAACATATCTATTTGATAATATTGTACCTTCCAGACAGCTTGTGATCTCTTTCGTTTCTGTACTAGGACATCATCAACTACATCTGCCATGCTTTCATCAATTCTTTGCCGATCAGCAAAATCCTCAGTTGTTAAAAACAAGGGGAACCACTTTTTTTCTAGACGTTCTCGGACATATTTTTGTGCTTCAAGTATAACAGCATTTGGTGGTCGATCTTCCAATAGTTTACCCCAACCACCTCCAGCATTCATTACCTTCAAAATATAAATATTACAAAGATATACATACATTATTTCTTAAAAAGTTTGAAACAGAAAATATTCCACATACATGGACAATCAAAGTTCCTCAATCTCTAATCTTCTCTATTCTTTTCTCTTCATAGTTCATGGGACCATTTTTGGAGAGAATGAAGATCTGAACTCTGACCTACTAACTACTAATTGTTACTTGTTAGATGATTTTCAGTAACATTACCTATCACAAAACATGAATTAGATTTTTTTTTTAAAGAGATTTCCTTTTGCAAATTTATAGTTGTCCTATTTTAACTACCAAATACCAGTTTTTAGTTTAATAAAATAGTAAAGACTCAGAGAAATGGAGGTCTCTTTATATGATGTTAAGTAAATCACAACACAATAGGTCATTATGTGGTTTATCATATTTTTGATAGTTGAAAGATTAGTGTTATACAGATATTTAAGGTTATAAAATTAATTGCTGGATTAAATGAATCATCTGTAATATTTTATAATTGTAATAAAATTGGAGGATCTACATCTTTAAAGACTCCAGTTTGTTTAAATTAACAAGATCATCTGATAAAATAAACTCAGCTAACTTAATTTGGAGTTCCAGATTTGATCTATTTTTCTACATTTGTAAAGAATAACAAGGAATAAACCAGCCATCGTCCATAATTTTCTTCAAACAATAAAAACAGGAAGTTCTTTATTATATCATAGAATACACATGTTTCCAAGGAAATTAATTTTACTCCAATATTTTCACACGTTCGTTGATTTTAGGTGTGGTTCCGGAGATGTACATTTGTTATTCCATGGGGAAAAAATGTGTCCGTAAAAGCCATGTGGTTGGCGGCAAAAATTTATAAACTTGCGGCTAACTGGTCTTGAGTCAGGAAACTAGTTGTTTGCACAAGATCTTTGCAGATGTAAGTTTCGGGTGAAATAACCCGAAGTTGTACAAAATGTCCGCCATTTTGACAGATGGCTATCACAAATTTCCTGCCGTCTGCCTCCATTTTCAAGCAAAAGTTAAACTAACAAAACAAACAAATTAACGAAATATGTGGTCGCTTTTCTTCTTCATTTATTTGTCTTCAATTTTCTTCTCGATTCTTGTTTGGGCTGATAATGCTTGCAGTGGCTAAATTGTTTTTATAAGCCATTTTTGATGTGCTAAGGACGTGGGTCTGAAGTGCTTATCAAATTATCAAATTACACAGCAGTATGTCTTTTAAAACACAACTATCTATAATTGAAAATTATTGGAATTCTAGATTATTCCAACTTACATAAATGTTATTTTAAGTGAATGCCAGAGGAAATTTCCTGCATTATCCATTAAGTGCAATGTAGTGAAAGAAAAAGAAAAATGAACTCAATGAAATTTAAATATTAATGTATAACTTTTAAAAAAATTGATATTATAAATGCAAAGTCATTTTAAATAACAAGAGAAATGCTGTAATAATTTTGCTATTAAACATATAGCATATTCTGTGGTAGAACGCAGAAAGAAAAGCCTTTTTTTTGGGAGGGATGGCAAAATGTGGTCTTCCCCACCCCCTTCCCAGGACACCTCTCCACACACACGTACAAAACCAATGAAATATTCTCTGCTTCTCAAATCAACAGATATAAATGTAAAGTCATTTTAAACAACAAGAGAAATGCTGTAATAATTTTGCTATTAAACATGTAGCATATTCTGTAGGAGAATGCAATGAATGCAATGAAAACCAATGAAATATTCTCTGCTTTTTAAATAAACAGATTTAAGGGAGTTTACATAAAATGATTTGCAACTGACTTGAACCAATAATGATAAAGAAAAAGATCTGTAAAATAAAACCACCTAATTTTACTAGGTATATTGTATATATGTGTCAAATGGTTTTTAAATTTGCCCACAAAGACTGGATCAGATGAAGATTTTTAAAAAGTTATATTATTTTTACCATTTTATAATCATATTTGGACTAAAGCACCATTTGATAAAATTCTGGTAGAGCAAAAATCTTTACAAGTTCTAAAAGTTTCGGAATGTTACAGAAGACAATAGAATGAACAAAAGAGAAGGAATTCAATGAAAAAGGTTGAAAACTTGTCTGGTTGAAATGTCAGCGTCTTAAAACCACCCTGATAATAACATAAAACAAAACAATATTTTCCTTCTTTTACAAAATGCCATCAAGTTTTTAGGACGTAAAAAACTCTGACATTCTTCCCTATAAATCCATTTCCCAGACTTATTCCTTTCTTTCCACTCTCTGTAAATAGAAGTATTTTTCAATGTTTGAGTTATTTTGACTCTAAACATGTTTCCTTTGTACCAGTCGTATTTACAGCTGGTCTTCATTTCCCTGATTTCAACATTCACCGTTTATAAAAACAGACCTGGTCGACAATTCTACCTGACTGAAGGGAAGTTACTCTACTGACCTTGAATTCTTGCACCATGGGGACCTGCAATGTCAACCTGTTTTTTTTAGGTTATATGAATGAGAGTGATGAAGAGAATGAGGGATCAAAGTCAGAAATTAAATGAAAGAAATAAATTGTACTTAGATATCGAGTTATTAAGTCCGGATATACTACATGGAAGCAAACTCACCAAGAAGCTTGAACTAGTCAGAGAATCTAACATAAAACACTCAGCAATGCGCCACATACAAACTCATAACTCTAGATAAAAGAAATTCTCAATAGATGTTTTAATAAACTATGTAATACAGATCCTAAAAGTAAGCAGGATGTAACTACACTTTATGGAATACCTGATAACACTTTGCATTTAGCCAGGCAGTTTACATGGCTATTGCCTAACAATTCCTGTTACACACATTTTTATATTACTGGTACTACTAGACATACATGGTAAATAGTGTGACACATAGAGAACCAGATTGTAGCTATTACTGTAAGTACTTGTACTAGAGGAAATACAATAACACCTACACAAGGAAACTTCTTAACCTGAACAAGTACCTGCCATAAACCATAGTCTTATGTTAAAAAAAAAAAAAAAACATTTCAAAAACAGAGAAAAGAACAATTTGGGTTTTAGTTTATCAGAGAAATAAACTGGTGTCACTAACTACTAATTAAAAGAAGCACGCAACTTTTCGATCTACAGCAAATAATTTCTGATATGAAGTCACGGTCTTCATGTCCACAAAACCAACCAGGCCATTTCCACTTACACAAAAATAAATATACAATTTATTAAATGCTTACCTTTTCTTGGCCCTCTTTACCAGCTGGACTGTTCGGTCCAAAGAAATATTTTTTGTTTAAATATTTTGTTTTTATTTCTTTGGCTTTCTGGTCCCTTTTTTTCTCGTCTGTGTGAGATATACGACGCCATGCCTCTATTTCCATCCAACATAACAGATCCATGCTGGCATAATTCTCTGCTAAAAACTCTCTGAAATGTTCTAACTCAATGCGATTATGAATAAGTTTTTCAAGTGATAAGTCAAGGAATTCCTCTGGTATTTTGTCCAGAAGACTAGGATCATAAACAGGATCTTCATAACCACCCATAGGATCATCTGGTGTTAAAACTCTCTGAAGTAAAAAATATTTTATAAATATAGATACTGTTGTCAAAAGATCAAACTCATGCCTACTCAATTAAAGAATCTATTATACATTTTTTATAATTAAACACAGTATGATAACAAATAAATTTAATATTTCAAAATAAAATACTTAGGAAACATTTTATTCATTCATAGTTGTAGTTTTACATATATAAATTTTATATTTCACAAAAAGACCTAGTTTGTTGAATTGTGGACTAAACAAGAGTTATTCCTCTTTGATCATACCCATAAATAATCAATTTTTATGCAGCAATCATTAAAATTGTTTACCTCTTTTATGATTCCTCGTTTTTGAAGATGTAAAACATATTTTGATTTAGTTTCTAGGTGACGTTTAACATCTATTAATTCAACCTTTGTAAATAAAAACGAAAACAAAAATGAAATAAATTCTCCTGAATGTATAGTGGACATAACTTACTTTATACAATATAATGACGACTATTCTTTTAAATCCTTTTTCTTTATAAAAGGCTGAATCTTTGACTTTGTTCTATAATTTCATTATTTGATTTTTTTTCCTACATTCTTACATGATTTTTTGTCTATGTTTTGGCCAACATATACAGTGTACAAAAATTCAACATATTATACTAAAGATAGGTTGCAAGGCAACGAAACATACGCCCACAGCAGCTTAATCGTCCAAGCGGTCAACAAGGGTTGTCGCATATTTATTCCTTTGTAGGTAATTGGGGGTCTTTACAAGACAGTTCCATACAGATCAGATTATAATTTTGTCGTTTGAGGAATCACAAAGTTCTACAAACTGAAACAAGGGCCTCAACTTTGGAAGTAGTTTACAGAAATTTCACTAATTTAAATAATGCATATAAATTTCAGAAAGATCGGATGATAACTTTTGCGTTCACAAGGTTCAATAAAGTGAAACAAGGGCCATAACGATAGACGTAATAAACAGAAATTATATAGGATTCTTCATCTCACTAATGTAAACCACATATACTGAGCGCCATGGAAAACGCATCACTTAGTTTTTCGTATAACAAAATGATCCTGTAAACATATCTTATTTATTTTGCTTCTTATTGTGAACAATATTCAAATGGGAACACATCAATAACAACACATTTGTACACTTATGGATGTTTAATCTGTAATCAACGGTACAAAGTCAGGGGGTCAAAACCAAAAGTACGACACAGATGTCAGTAGCGCGTGTGTCCTCCAAGGGCTCTTACGCACGCTGTGCAGCGACATCGCATGGAATTTACCAATGTTTGAAAGAAGGCCTGGGGCAAATTGTTCCATTCTTGGACAAGAGCAGCTTCTAAAGCAGCAATGGTGTGCATCTGTGGTCTCCGATACAGACGGCGTCCAATCTCATCCCAGACGTGTTCTATCGGTGCCATGTCCGGAGACATGGCTGGCCAGTCCAAGACATTGATGTTGTTAGCAGCCAGGTAGTCCATACTAAAATGGGCGGTATGCGGACGTGCATTATCCTGTTGAAGTGCGGAAGTTGTGGTGCGCTCGAAACATCGGAACAACATTTGGTTGCAAGACATCTTCACAGTAGGCTATAGCATTAATGCGACCCCTGCAAATGTGTAGGGAGGTCCGGTGATGAAATGTGAAGCCTCCCCACACCATTACACTACCCCCACCCCATTGATTCGTTTTGAAGACGCAGCAGTCTGCAAGACGTTCCCCAAGACGTCTCCACACACGTTGACGGCCATCAGCGTGATAAAGATGAAAGCGACTCTCATCACTGAAGAGCACACTTTGCCAGTCTACTCTTCTCCATGTCTGGTGTCCTTGAGCCCATATCAAACGCTGCTGACGGTGATGATCCCTGAGGATAGCTCCAACATAAGGTCGTCGTGCACGGAGTCCTACTTCTATTAGATGACGTCTTACGGTGTTGGCACTTACTGGTCCTTGTCTTCTGACGACTGCTGCACCTGTTCGAGTCGCTGGGCGGAATCTGTCACGCAGATGTAGCGGTCTTGAGCCTGGGTTGTAAACGTTGTGGACCAGGACGTTGACCGTCACATGTTGATCCAGTAACTCGAATACGTTCCACCAACCTTACAATAGTGGACTGATGACAATTGAAGTGTCTGGCAATAGCACGTGTAGACATGCCAGCCCTGGACATTCCCATGGCTTCATTTCGTTGATTTTCAGTAAGTCTCTGCATCTCTAGCTCGATTCCTTCACACGTCCAACAACAAATTACGACAGATTGACGTTTCACAGTTCATGTACTGCACATTAAGTTGAAAACATGCTTTTAAAGGGCTCACACACAATGCTGCACGTGAATATTGGGTTTTTCATGTGCATCTTGTGCAATTTTTTTTTGTGCACACGGGCCGATATATTTTGCATTTGGGAGCATTGTGTGAAACAATAGTTCATAGTATTGCATAATATTATACATACAAAACCACCTAGTAATAAGATATTTGGGAAAAAAAGTGATGCGTTTTCCATGGCGCTCAGTATATATCAATTTTAAAACAATCAGATTAAAACTTTTGGAGTTAGAGCGTTCACAAGAAATTGTGGACAACGGACTGACGGACAGGGGCGACGGCAATATACGTCCACATTTCCACATGGGCGTATAAAAATGAAGTTTTTAACTGATTTGTAACTTTTGAGATAAATACCTTATTATATGTCCTTATATCTTCTTTCAGATTACCAATCCAAGCTGAATACAGCACTTGGAGACAATATTCCTCTGCTTCATCAAAAAGTTCTTCATAAGGTGGAGAAAGATGATAATAAATATCACCTCGGAGTTCTTTATCACATTGAATATCACATGGTGAAGACGTCACTATATACTTGGAATAAATTGCCTGAAGTTTACAACAAATATACCAGGTAAGAATATATTTGTTCAAAAACTTTCATCTTATCAAATAATTTTAAAAACTGTTGACATATTTCAATCAATGCAACTTCATTGAAATTTAAAAGTAAGATAAAAAACTATGACCTGTAGAGCATGTAAAAAGGGCAAAAGCTCCTCATTGAAGTGAAATGGGGTTTAGCATCTTACTTTTCTGCACAACTGGATTAACAAAAAACAGGCATAAGCCATGCAGTGCACTATGTGGGAAATTTAGCTCAAACAGCAGCATTTCTGCCCATTATTTTAGATGCACATAACCGCAGATTTTTGTCCAATTGAATGATGAGATGCTGTCCCTTCCTAGGTTCTCCAACATGCACAACTGACAAGGGGAAACAAATGGGTAAATCCTGAAGAATTTTCTCCACCAACCTGGGATCCCACTCACTGATCCACAGAGGCGCCAAGAGAGAGAGAGAGAAATGGGGTTTAACGTCCACTCGACACAAACTAGGTCATTTCGGGACTAACATATGGTTTAATTTTATTTCAATAATTCGCTTGCGCGTAGGGGTCTTTAGCAGTGGGAGGAAACCGGAGGACCCGGAGAAAACCCACGAGGTTGTCACGTACAACCGGGGTTTTCAAAACCACGCCAGTCGACTCAATGACAGACTTTATGATACAGCGTGCGTACGCTAACCATTCAGCCATCCAACCCCCCCAGAGGCGCCAAACTCCTCATGAAATGGTGTACTACTTTAAATGACAATTATTGCAGATTGTGGACCAGAAAAAAAGGTGTTTTATGAAATCAGAGAATTTAATCAAGACTGGAATAAAACCAGCAGTTGCTAGGCAAGATACGCCCACATTTTGCAAGAGATGGATAGTTTAAAAAAATTCAAGGGTTATAATCCAGGAAGTTATGGTCTGAAATGCAAGAATATCGAAAGGGACTAAGATATTTGGGATATAAAGATATATTTTAAGTTTCATCAAAATCAGATAAAAATTGGTATTACAACTATTTGCCTACAAGGAGCGGCCATTTTGTCAGGCAGTTTTGGTCAGGCTTTTTATGGTGTAACTTTTTATGGTATAGCAGTGATATAATTGAACGTTTTTTTTAAATCGGATAAAAATTGTGGCCTCTAGTGTCCACAAGCTAACAACAATCAGGGGCCATAATCCAAGAAGTTAAGGTTGAATATGCGCGAATATCGGAAGGAACCGAGATCGTTGTGTAATAAACATACATTTTAAGTTTTTTAAAATCGGATCAAAATTGTGACCTCTGGGGTGTCCACAAGCTAACAACGTGATTTTTCAGACGATCACAGACCATAATCCATGAAGTTATGTCCGATACATGCCAATATCGAAAGGAACCGAGATCTTTGGAATATAAACCTATATTTCAACTTATGTCAAAATCGGATAAAAATTGTGACCTGTGTAGTGTCTACAAATAGTGGACGGATGGATGGACTCTGGACGGACAGGGGCAACAACAATATACCTCCACATGAAAATGTGGGCGTATAAAAATATTCTGTTGTCTTATTTTACCTGTGACTTTACCCTAAGTTTATATGGTTCTACAGTTTCCTGGTAAAATAAATCGTGATAGATTTGAACATCCAGCCAAAACTCAAAGCACCATTTCCAAAGCTGAAACAAAATGTAAATCTTTATCAAAATACAACACATGATAATATCAAGATCTACTAAAATATACAACCTTAAGGTTGATATTCCTTTCATTTAAATAAGTTGAGTTGATATTCTTAATTATATTTACCTTATTTCCACTTCTTTCTACATATTTTTTGAAGAAACCACCAGCCGATTTCTCATTTTCTAAAGCCTGAAGTAAGGCCTCCATTCTCTGACCGCCCAAAAACTCAGATTCTATGCTCACTTTTGACTCACGTCTTGTGGTCTCCCTTGTTGCAGGCCTTGACGTGGGTGGTGATGGGAGAATGATATTTGATGGTTGAGGTGTTTCAGGAAGCATGATAACTGATGCTGATTCCCAGGATTCATTTGAAGATGATGAACCTGCTGATGTTGGTCGAGCAGAAACTATACGACTGGGTTTTAATCTTGCTGAGGATGTCCTAGTAAAGATACATCATGCAAGATTTAGATAAAGGGTTGGCTGTTCTTGATACAATAGTTCAAAAATAGATTATGAAGAATGAATATATTGAAAATTTCGGTCAAATTACTTTATCACCCAATAACACATTCTACAGTAGATATCGCTTGTGTGATAACTTTCATAATTTACTGAGCGAGATATAGCTTTAAATGAATTTGATTGGTCAATTAAAAAGGAACTACTGTTTAATAAAAAAGGAACTACATTTTGAATCCAGTAATATTGTTGGAGAAAAGTTCTCAATTACCATAAACAATTACAATACTCCCCAAAACCTTAAAAGAAACACAGGGTCAATATATAGGACTTTGCAATGGGTGACTTGCTGTCAAAAAATGATATATCACTACACCGTAATGTAATCAGGTTCAGTAAAATTAAATCTATACCAAAGAATTATATTTACTTATTTGTGCGCGTAAGAAAGGGTTGGGTGATAAATAAAATCTACTCAAAAAAACTGGTAGGAGATTCTCTATTTATTCAAAGCAAGAAGACTCCAGTAGCAATAATTGGCACATGGAAATTCAACATTTCATGTTCTCGATTGTTAGTCATCTTATTGGCAGTCTCAGACAACATTAGCATTTAACACCAATATGGTGGGCATTGTCTAATTCACTCAATATCTAAGCCATTCAATTGACTAGAGAGTTAATTATGGGCTTGTCATGTGAATAAATGTTAAAACAATAATTTACATAACATTTAAAAGATATAACGCCACCAATAGACAACCACCCGACAATAGGCAAGTTTAGCTCTAGCATAAACCTTAGTAACTTGATCAATTCTGGTACATTATGAAATGCTAAATACATTATACCTTGTAAAAGCTGACTGACAACGTTTGGTATTATTGGGTGGTACGCGAAGTCTGGGTTCTAAAAATTCTCTTGGTTTCTTTTTATATTCAGTTCTTGTTTTCATATTACCAGCAGTTGTTGCACGTTTAGGTTGAAGATGAGAATACGATCGTCTCATTCCTACAGGTGGCGATGTTTGAAATTGATTGGCTGGTGGATTACAGCTAACAGTTACAGCCTGAAATAAAAATTAAACACAATGTACAGTATATAGCATTTTATCCAGCAGAGGCCATACACAACCAAAATATACACTAAATGTGTATTTTAATCATTTTGGGCCACATTCCTGAATGCTGATTAGGACTAATTAAATGATTCCAGAATACTGATTAGGGCTAATTAAATGTTTAGCACTAATCAGCATTTGAGCATACTAGGAGCATACTCATAGTGTTTTATAATCCAGCCTAAGATTTACCCAACAGGTTCATGGTTATGGTGTGATTAAATCAATCAGGGCCTATAATTAACTAGTTCATAGTCAGGGTGTGATACTCCCATACTCAATAAATTCATGGTGTTTTTTAATCACTACACCACAGGGCAAATGCTAAAAATTCAATCTATTATAATGTTTACAATCATAAAATGAACCAATGTATCTTTAATGATAAGCGACAATAATACATGTTTACTTAATTATTTTTGTGTTTTTACCAATTTTAAGGTGAATTTTTTATTTTGTGTTTTTACCAATTTTCAACCCATAAAGTGTAAATAATTTAATTAAATCAACCTCTCCATATTATCATACTTAATGCATTGGACGTTAATCTTTAATAAACAACAAAAACAACATGTTTACTTACATCTTGTATTATAGGTGTGGTATGTATACGAGGTTGACATGATTTAGGACGTAATGGTAACAGTGATTTTGTTAGGGGGTTTGGGTTTACATCTGTTTTAGTTTGTTTTAGTAGTTGTTGATGATGATAGAGATAGTATTTCTCAGGGTTTGTCTTCATTAATTGTTTCAACAAAAATCTTGGTGCCCTGAAATTAAGATCAGATCACTGAATTATTGCCATTAAATTATATCTACCAAAGATGTATTCTAGTATTCAAAATAAAACCATACCTAGGGCCTGTTTTATAAAAATACACAAAGTTCAATAAAGATGTACAGTCTGATGTGTGCTTTGTGAAAAGGTGACATTGCTTCCATGAGCTGCAGAAAACACCTTCATGTGGTCATAGCTCTGACAATTAACCTAAACAGTTGACCGAGACTCCACAAACATAATTGAGTATCATTCATATGCTGAATTTTTTGTGCTTTTCAAGGCTCATTTTATATTGTTTAATTAATGTTTGTGTTGATTAATCATTGCTGTACATCACGTTTTTTGATGTTTAAACACTGGTGCACTGCTTTGTCCGGGTGCCTATTATAATGCTGTTAAGATGGCCCTGCCTATAAATGGCTAATTCCAAGATTTTTTTTTTAACTCAATATCATCCAAAACATTACACGTTGAAAATACGAATTATTTGTCAATTCAAAACAACATTGATGTTGCGATCTTTCCATGAAAAGGTAGGCTTCTGATATCCAATATTTAAGACAAAATAAACATTTTACCAGTGGTACACGAATCGTGTACCACAGTGCGTTTTAGCGTCATTTGCAACAAGTGACTAGAAAGAACGAGGCTATACATATTCAACAGCTCATGTCAAACGGTGACGCCATATCTTATCTGGAGAGCATGCGCAATAGACTGGAATAACCAGATGCTAGAAATGATATTCGGTTGAGACTCTTGCCGTATTTCGCTGGACATAACTGATTTGATATTAGAGTCAAAACTGAAACAATTGAATGTAAATCAGTTTATATACAATCAGATTACATTATTATATGCGTTGTGACCCATTTAGGTCAATTTCTAGGTCCCAAATATTAGCGATTTAGCTCCTTTAAACTAGGAAAGTATATTGCAGCGCAAATCAATGTAAGTAAAATGAACTAACCAGTATGTAACTAGAGGTTCAGCTATTTTATTCTGTAAACTTTGTAATTTCTTCACAGTCCACTGACTTGGTTCTACAAGACCTAGTTCAGTCTTTAATTCTTTTGTTAGTTCATATGGGGCACCTGTTCTCTGGTACTTGTCTCTCATTTCTGATAAATACCTAAAATATATAAAATTGTGTTGGAAGCACAATTAGCTGAGATAAAGTACATATTACTTCCTATTGAAATACAAGGAGAAAATACTTTAAAGTAGCTAAGTCTCTAACTCAGTATCATCCAAAGTCTTCGACATTGAAAACACAAATTATTTATCAATTTAAATCATAATCAACATTGTTGTTGTTATTGTTTCGTGAAAAGATGGACTTCTGATATCCAATATTTAAAACAAAATAAACATTTTACTATTGGTACACGAATCCTGTACCATAATGCGTTTCAGCACCATTTGTAATAAGGGGCTCAAAGAACGAGGCTAGACATATTCCACAAGTCATGTCAAATGGTGAGGCCATATTCTTATCTGGAGAGCATGCGCAATAAATACTATCGGTGTAGACTGGAATAACCAGATGCTAGAGATTGCCATTTGATTGACACTTCTGGCGTATTTCGCCTAACATAACTGATTTGAAATTAGAGTAAAAACGGAAACGACTAAATGTAAATCAGTTTATATTCATTCATATTACATTATTATATGCGTTGCGAGTTGCGACCCATTTGTGCCAATTTCTAGATCCCAAATATTAGCGATTTAGCTCCTTTCATTAAAGCAAGAACTACATTTTAAACAAAATATGTGAGCTTATGCAAATGACTAGGTAACATCAGTTTATGACACCTCATATGACATGCTTTGCAAATGATCCTATAACTACAGCATAATGGGCCCAACATGTAATCCATCCATATTGGGTGGGGGCTCGATTTTTCAGTCTGGAGCATCCAGAATTAACATGTCACAGTACTTCTAACCCAAAAAACAATTGTGAAGTAATCAAACGTTTCAGCTCTGGTTAATGGTTGAGATAGTATCATATTCAGTTGATGTATGCAATGTCATGCGATTGACTTCTTGCCAGATATTGAGATAATTTACTTCAGTTATATTCGATCACGTACTCTCAGAAATATACCTCTCTTATTCATTCGGAAAGTTTGATTAGTTGCCGTCTGCCATGACTGTATTTTTGGGTAGCTTTTTAATCTTAATAAAATATCACTTGAATTGAATTCTATGCCAGAAATCATTTAAAATAACTCACCCTAATACATCCATAGTTTTGGGAAATAGATGACTTCGGTCTATATCCACCCAGAATTTAAAATATTTTTCACCACTTGTTCCCTTCAAGAATGTTTTAAATTGCTGTACACCTTTTCTATTGGATAGGTCATAGGTTTTGATTTTATGTTTTCTAAAGAATTCATCACTTTCTTCATAATCTTCTTCACTGTCTAATAAAGAATCTACATCACTTTCTTCCTCTTTCTCCAAATCCTTATTGACTGGGATTTCTTCTTCCTGCTCTTCAGTTCCAGTTTCATTAAAACAGACATGATCTAACATTTCTACGGTTATGTAGCTCAGTTCAGGATTACTAAAGATTGATAATATTTCTTTATCATTTTCGAATTCAGATTCTGGTGTGTTTGTGATTTCTGCTAAAGATCGTTTCAATATGGCACCCACTATAACTGACCCTAGATCATCAATATTATTCACAACGATACTTTCTGTACTGTTCTGTTTACTTACTGACTGTTTAGGTTTTACACTGGTCTCTGATTGGTTAACTTTAGTCTCACTCTCAGACTCAACCTGACATTGTACATCATCGCGAACATAAGTAGATGGAGCCTCTGTTTCAAAATCTGTTTCATCCCGATCTGTATCACCAACTCCTGATTCTGAATCAGTTGATTCATGTTTTGGGTAGGAGTAGACTGGTCCGGCAGGTTGTTTGAAAACATTTTGATCACCCGTTAGAACACAACATGTATCAGATGGTCGAGGAGTTGTAGGCTTGGAATCGAGATAAATTTTTGTTCGAAGTGTGGTGTCATCTAATTCTTCAGTTCCATTGACACCTGGTGCGTAGCTTCCAAAAAATGAACTGCTGAAAACAGAGCTTTTCATTGGACTGCCAAATCCACTATCAGATCTACGATAACTGTCAGCAGTACTTATGGCACTCTTTGGTCTTCCACTTATTGGACGAGCACTTGTTGGACGGCTTGATGAGAGAGGTCGAGACAGTGTTGTAAAAGTCTGTGTACCACTTTGTGCATTTTGTGCCTGACTAAACCATGCATTGGAATCTGTGGTATTTACAGTACCTAATGACACAAACATGTCCTTCATTATCCTCTCTTTAGGATCATTGTGATCTTCTTCTGCGGGCTTTTGTTTTACTTTTTTGATTCGAGGCCTGAAGTCTATTTTCATGATGACAAATTCTCCTGATTCAGTTGTTAGTCTGGCTTGGGACAGAATTTTGGCCAGACGGTACTCTAGATAACAATCACTTTCAAGGAATGCTGGCAGTCTTTCAGCTTTTACCCAATGAATGCCCTGTTCTTTATTTAATGTCTGAAAATGAATCAACAGAATTAAAATACATAATTTCAAAATTAAGATGTTGCCTGTAGAAGTAATGTGTTAATTTATTTGCTAGAAGGGCTGTGTTGCTATACAGTATTTCACATGCTGATCACCATAAGAAATAAAATATGTAATCAAACTAATCACATTTCACAAATTTAGAATTTATTTTACTTCCGGTCAATTTACATGTAATTAAAGTTATATCTTTTAATGGGTCTGATTTGATACACTACATCAGAATGTCTGCCATTCGGACGACTGATCTCGACAGTGTTATGCAGGAGACATCAGTGAGATTACAAAAAGATCAATGGATAAATAACAATTTGAAGTGTTTACAGTACAGAAAGAACATGGCAAATAAAATTGATCTGATGCTTAGTAAAACTGAGTCGGTAAATTCAAAATGTCGAGTATAATTAAATTAAAGAAGAAGAAAAACGAATTGAAAAACATCTGTTTTCAATCAGATTGACTCACAGTTACGGTAAAAGTTGTATCGATCTCAATTTTTTCTGGTCCTTCAATTTCTTCTATAGGTATCAATGGAATATCAATATAACTGTGATCTTTGGCTACTTTATACATCTTTTTCTTTTTCTGTTGTGAGCGAACAGCCGCTTTAATTTGACGAGCCAAATCTTTCTTAGCATTGTTGACAACTTCAAAACCACCCGTTTCTTCATTAAAACACAAAGGCTCTGGAAAGCTCTGAAAAGAATGAAAGTTTACTCAGGTATTGATGCAATGGTTGTTCCAATATTCGTACTAAAATACTACTCCCTCATAATGCATAATAAATTATTATATTATACTCTTTGTCTTATAAGTAATCATAGACTGTATTAATTTCCTGAAAAAAATATTTTAATATCTAAATCAATTCCATTTTTGTGCGCAACCCTAGAAATAATAACGCCAAACATCAATAATATTTTTTGATTTTATATAAACAATATCTTATTTAGTTGTAGGATTGGGAAACAGCCAAACCCAAAAGCCCTCTCTCCAAAATTTTAATATGTAAAGAAATAAGACAAAAGAAATATGTACACTATTTACAATATGAATATAACTACATTCATTCAATCAATCAATCAATTGCACTTGCATTCAAAGTGGGCTAATAATAATAATATAAATAATAATACTGAAATTTAAACCAATTAAAATTGTTTTGTAATTTCTATGAAATTATGAACTATTGAAAATATAGAGTAGTTGGTAACATTGGTAAGTTCGGAAGATCCAGAAAGAAGTAATTTTATGTTCTCTGCTGTGTTGGGAGAGTCTAATATTAAAAGAGTCTCAATCATATAATTTATTGACTCGCATAATGGTGTACTTGACTATTACTACCTACAGTGTAAACATTAATGACCCTTTGATTAAAGGGTTCATTGTTGTAGCATGTAAGTTTCACTCCCATGAAACAAACCGACCACTGACAACTAATATGTCAACACATACCATATAATACCTGTACACTAGTATCTTAATAATATTTTAGACAAAGTGGATCAGCAAAACAGATAGAAAATGTCCTTTAAGTTAAGTCTACTCTACATCCAGGGGGGTTGGGTAGCTGAATGTTCTAACACATGCACTTTGAGTTAAGTGGCAAGGTTTCGATTCCCTGTACTTGCCAAGGAGTAGGGTCGCCTGTTCAACCTCGCGAGTTTGCTCTGGGTACTCCGGTTTCCTCCCACGGCTAAAGACCCATCAAGCAAACAAATTATTGAAATCAAATCGCACCATATGTTAGTCCCAAAATGACCTGGTTTGTGTTGTTAAACACTATATATAATAGTTACCATGCACAACCAAATATTTCTGATTTTTCAATGATATAATCTTTTGTCATAATATTTTGTATTGTTCTTTTGTTGTGATAATTTTTTAGTCTTTGACGGTTTTATTTCATATAAGTATTGTAAAGCTCACCTGAACACATGAAGGGGGACTATATAAATTTTGTAACAAATAATAATACACTGACAAACTACTATAATTCAACATACCAGTAGATAATAATTCAGTATTAGTAAAGTTGCAAATCAAAATACAGGCGCGGATCCAGGGGGCCGTGGCCTCCCCCTCACTGACTAATCAATATCAACTGTTTGTTGATCAACAATCATGTATGCTCCTATGCAAAAAAACTACATACTCGAATGATGACATAACTGACAATAATATCAACTATTGATATGTGACATAGTTAATTTTCATTTTCGTTTGCTTTGTTACTGTTGTAGTTCACATATCTGCTCTTTAATAGATGATATAAACATGATTTTTGCATTGTCTCCGCCCAAGCAATTCCTAAGGTTGCAACGTATACAATTGCTTTTGGAATGAGGCTGCGATGAAGACTCTGGGGACTACACCAAACCACTAATGCATGCGGCACTCTGATGATTAACCTTTGCTCCAATGTATGCCCCCCCCCCCTCGACAAAATCCTGGATCCGGGCCTGAAATATCACAAAAATCTAATACAAATAATACAAATCAAAGCTTTGTTTCTATGTTACTAATAGAGTTTTTGACCAATTTAATATAAAATAAACTTACTGGAAGACTGAGAAATGTATTAAAATATTCAACAAATAATTCATCAGTTGCTAGAAAATCCTCCTGAAAAAAAAAAATAAAAAAATAAAACTGGATCTGTCAGATGTTAAAGATTTTGTCCAGAATCTTGGTGAATGATCCCCTAGTTAGATTCGGGGGAAAACAAACATTTTAATCATAATTATAATATGAATGAACAAATTCTGTAATTTACAATTATATAAACCAGAAAAAGTATGTTATGTTTTGGGTACCGGTAGTATTGATGGATGTGGTTTTTTTTACACAATAGGTGGGGTTGGATGACCGAATGGTTAGCGCGTAACCGTTCTATCATAAGGTTTGTCATTGAGTCAACTGTAATGGACAAACATATCCTACCAGACAATGCGGAAGTAAATAGTAATGGCTGATTCCCAAACAACAAAATAATAATGAAAAAAACATGTAGAATGGACCTTGGCAGGGGCGCAGCAAAATGTGGGCACTGACTGCGGAGACGGGGCACGTCGCTGAGAGTTTTTTTGGGGGGGGGGGGTCCCCCAAGAAAATTATCCGTCATTTCCTTGCATCTGTAGCCATTCCAAGCGCTATTTGGCTGATACTTTCATCTAACTCTAAGTAAACCTTCGGAAATCGTGCAAAAAAGCCAGTTGAACATGCGCCTTGAAAATTGTCAAGGCGAGCGAGGCATTATGATGGAAAAAAAAACGAATCTATTCCCTAGCCACTTCCCTATTTAAGCCTTGTAACTTGTACTGTCCACACATGAAACAATGCTACATCAAGTTGCACTCATGCGCGTCGGTGATGGGCATGAGTATATACGCTATCGATTCCAAAAGATGCTATCATTGATGTCTGTCTATAGTCACTCTATAGGATTAGGGCACCTTCAGCTAAACAACAAGAATTCGTTTGAAAGTGGAAGCATTAATTAGACCAGACTGGTGTGTTTGAGTCAATAGTTTGAGTCAATTGGGATCCCTGCAACGGGTTGGGAACACACATATTTGGGTCTGAGAAAAGGCACTTTCAGCAGTAAAAAAGGGCACTGTCGCCCCCCCCTTTGGATCCGACTCTGCTTGGAGACGAAAAAGACTGCTCTTCAATTTGGACTGTTCACGTATTTCACCGAACATAATTGATCAGAAATTACAATATTTTTCTTTTGAAAATGAATATAAATAGAGAATCTCCTACCAGTCTTTTTTGATATCAAAAAATATTAACACAAGTTGATAAAGTAACAAAAAACGAGGCTCTGCCGAGTTTTTTTTACTTTATCAACGAGTGTTGATATTTTTTGATATCAAAAAAGACGAGTAGGAGATTTTATTTATCACCCAATCCCTTCTTACATGCACAAATAGATAAATATAATTCTTTACTGTAGATTTCACTTTTACTGAACATTACGGCGTAGTGATACATAATTTTTTGACAGCAAATCAACCATTGCAAAGTCCTTTATATTGACCCAGTGTTTCCATCAAGGTCAATTGAATAACAATATTTCATTTTTAATTTTAAAAAAAGTTATAAGAAATGAACTGTTCTTTGAAAATAAAAAAAAGTAGTTCCTTTTCAACTGACCAATCAAATTCATGTAAAGCGATATCTCTAGATATCGCAGTAGATTATGAAATATATCACACAAGCGATATCTACTGTAGAATGTATTATTGGGTGATAAATCACTTTATATACATTCTTATTAGACACATTTTCGGTCAAAAGAATAGAGCCATACAACTTTTAAATGGGCTATGTTTTTCTAGAGGTTTTTAATATTCTGTCCATGTTACTGGTACTTGAGCAGGTTTCCAGCACTGCCTATTAAACAGTCTTGTCAATAATGTTTATCAATCAATATGACTGCTTTGTCTGCAAAGATATTTTTTGTCTTTATCAAATCAGCTTTCAATTACTAGAACAGGAAATAAGAGAGGAAATACACATTATTTTCCGATTGAAATCTTCCTCAATAAAATATGAACACACAAAGAAATTGTTTTTGTTATCAGCATCTAATCTAATACTGATTTAAACAAAAAATATACAGGAATCTTGCCTAGGGCAAACCATACAACTTCCATGAAAATTAATCATCTACAGTACATTGGTTCAGATTATTTATTTTAATACTATCACATTCTAAACCTTCTGTAAACCTGAAAAAATTATAGACTGAGATGGAATGAAAACACCACACCTTAAATGGATGATTGTAAATCTTGTTTGAGAGATACACTGTAATCTTGCAATTGCTGATATAATAATATCATATCATGACAATAATATGAGAATAATGTTTTCACAACAAGGTAAATGCATCCCAAAAATTGAATTCGACACAATGGTAATTTTGAAACTTACATTTTTATGGTGCAGACGTGGGGTATAAAATGTGGCTTTTAAAAAGCTAGGGTCAGAACAACCCTTGACAATTTTGTGGCAAACACGATGATATGCCACTGTTTGACACCTCAACACAGAGAACCTGCCACTGTGTTAATTTAGAAATCTATATACCATAACCATTGAAAGCAGCATTACGAGAGCGAAGAAGGATCTCATAAGCAGAGATTCAGAGGCTTATGTCCTGCCTGCAGTGTGTGGCTACTAGAAAGAAGTGGACACACAAATTTTTGTCTTTTGATTTTTACTCCTTATTCCTACAGCAACATTTCATTGTAAAGTAAAGTTGTCATAACCTCCATGGGTCGGCAATACTATATGCCGGAAAACACCGAAAAACCCCGGAAAACAATCGGAAAACTACCGGAAGACACCATTTTATACTAAATACCAGAAAATACCGGAAAAACACTAAATACCGGAAAACACACTAAATACCGGAAAATACCCTAAATAGGTAACCCGGAGACTGGCACCCTAAATAGGTAACACAGAGCCTGGTCCTCTATTTGCCTGGGTTAGGGTTAGTTTCCAGTTTATAGTATAGCCCTTCTCCGGGTTACCTATTTAGGGTGTTTTCCGGTATTTAGTGTGTTTTCCGGGAATGTTTTTCCGTTGTTTTCCGGTATTCAGTATCACATGGTGTTTTCCGGCAGTTTTCCGGTTGTTTTTCGGTGTTTTCCGGTATATAGTATAGCTATTTATTTTTTGAGTCAGTAAATAAATGTCCAGCCTACAGTCATGCCAAAAGTGACATTCAGCTGCATTACGCTTCTGCTGTATTTCCAGTAAAATAAGAGGTGTGCTTTCACTGCATCTCAGTATATTACAGTGTACTGACTCCCAAAACACAAAGATTTTCATATCAAGGGTATGAGGAGGTTTTGAGGGGGTGGGGGGGGGGCGTGTGTGTGTGTGTGGGGGGGTTGTGGGGGGGGGGGGGTCTAATGCATGATATATTGAGGTGTGGGACTGCTTCTTTAATAAAATAAGATTTTCAAATTCTCTGCGCTTTTATAAGAACCAGGCTATGTCTTATTCTTTATTTTTTAAAATAAACAGTAAAGATTTTTTATGTTTCTATCTCATTAAAACAATTTTATTATACTGAATTATTGATGGCCTTTGTACCTGTGTACCTGTGTGAGTTAATGTTGAATGTCCTCTGTCTATAATCAGTGAAACACAATAAAATCTATAGAAATATAAACTGATATGATCTGAAAGAGATTTTATTTCAATGAAATATTGATTAATGTTGTGATACATGATAATCTCCACATTAAATTATGATGATTGATCTGATATTGTATATTATTACGAGGGCTGGCTGAAAAGTTCTGAGCCTGAAAAGGATAGATCAATTAGGTTGCAACAAACTTTTGCCACCAACAAGTATAATTATTGAATGGATCATAGACATAAGAACTGCAATTGTAGTGTTATTATTGTCTTCGTTCCAGACCCTCTTGTGAATCTACCCACTGAAATCACCAGAAATGGACAAAACTGGCTATAGGACAGTCATCAAGTACCTGCAACTGCAAGAACTAAACGCAAAACAAGATAAATGCCGACATGGTCTCCACTTAAGGGGATGATGCTCCTTCCGTTTCCACCATAAAGAAGTGGGCTGCTGAATTTAAGCGTGGCAGAGACAGCCTTGATGATGACCCGCGCCTGGAAGGCCACTGACAGCAACCATTCAAGAAAACATTACCCAGGTGCATGAAATGGTGATGGCTGATCGACGATTGACCACTCAACATATTGCCAATGTTGTGGGCCTCTCTCATTATCACCAAAGTGTTAGGAATGACAAAAGTTTCTGCAAGATGGGTGCCAAATCTCTTGCAGAAACTTTTGTCATTCCTTGCAACATCGTTGATATAATAAGTGTGTACACCCCGAAGGGGACTATGTAGAAAGATTATTACAAACCATTAACTTTATACAGGTCTTTCACAGATAGCCTTGGAACTTTTCAGCCAGCCTTCATATATAAATATACATTCAATTATGCTTAAAACATAAATACCCAGTGTAAGCATATACTTAACTATAAATTAGTTCTACCTCATATTCTTCAAATTGCATCTGCCAAGGGATCTCAATATGTTCCCAAAATTTATGTTATTTTATTGCCACACAGCCTTGTCAGTAAAGCTATCAGACAATATGAGACCAGTCGTGATAATTCCTGAACGCTTTTCTTGGTTCAGATGGGGGTATTCTCTAATAGATGTGAATGATAAGCTTATTGTTTCTGTTAAGATTATTATTATTATTATTTTTTTTGTGTATTTTTTCTGCAAATTTTATATCTCAGAATCTAACCGTAGGAGCTTTCTGAAACTTTGACCCCCCCCCTCCAAGAATGGGTGGTGGCTTTGAAATGAATATATTTTCAAACATCCGAAATCACCGAATTTTACGAACGAATGCATTTGACCTACATTGCTGTAACTTTGTGACTATTTGACCTATTTTACTATTTTTTTTTCTTTGAGTACATTGAAACATTTACTTCAAATCTGCAATTTTCGGATTTCGAAAATTCGTCGCTGTGATTTCGAACCGTCAGTTAAAACCAACTTGACAACTTCTTTAATAGTTGCACGATTTTCATGAAATTTAGTATGTAAGTAGATCTTACCGATGCGAGTTAAAAGATGTGATTAGCAATTTTCTAAATTATCTCCCCTTGATGAAATTAAGGATCAAAGTTTTCAAAAAAATCGACGAAATATAGGTCAGATTGCCTTGAATTTTTTTTTCTGTACAAGCTAAGACAGTACTGATGTGTACACAAAATATGGAGTTTGTCAAGTGAACCGGAACTGCCACCATCTCAAAACGTGAAAAATCCATAAGTCTTTTGCAATATTTTACTTAGAGACATAAGAGTTAAATTTTCTGAATACTTGAAGGAAAGCCTAAAAATCTATCGGATTAGAATTTTGATTTAGGTCAACTGATGGACGCCATTTTGAATTGAAATTGAAAATTAGTGAAAAATCCACATTAATGGGCTTGAAAACATACACGAATGTTTGGTATTTGAATATTTCAAAAATTCGAATTTCACCTTTAGTTTTTGACCGATTTTAATTGTTTTTTTTTATCTTGTTGAGATTCTTTATATGACTCTTGACATGTGACAGGAAGTGATTGTGAATATCTGCTTAGCAGATCTAGTTCAAATTGTTTTTATAAATTTATCTAGGTGTAATGGACAATTTAAAAATTGGTCCTGAATGGTTTTAAGATTACATTGTCTTCTGGTACGGAAAACCTTTTAAATCTCCTGAATAAAGCACTAACAATGTGTAGAAAATGAACGTAAACTACACTGTTAAATTTGATTATTTGCTTGATAAAGACGAAAGAACCCCAGGTGAAACATCACCAGAAATAAACATCTAAGTAAGTGCAGGGGGACTGCACTACACATAATTTACACAAAAACAAATATACGGACAAGACACAATACGCAGAAATCACAAACAAACAATTCAAATTAAGTGAATGGATCCGGGGGCTAGCTATAAGCGACCACTGCACTGTACAGTCCTGGGCCTGTAGTGATACAGACGTCACTCAAATTTGAAAACAATCAGGAATAAGTTAGATAACTTGTATTCCATATAAAACTGTCATGTGTTAAATTTTAGTTATTTTACTGTATTGATTTACCTAATGAATTGAAGGAAATTGATCACCTAATGATAGAATTCAATTTCAATGGTGAATTGTGACACGATTGTTCTAACAATACATAATGAGATAATAGCACTACTATCATTATTCAAATCAGTGTGCAAGATTTAATCAAATGATTTATCCAGTATTCGCATTATAGCTGTAGCAAAAACTTTCCATAAATGCACAGTTAACGTAAATCTATTTCACATGTCACATTGATTTACTTGTCGGATTCATTTGTCCTGCCCTAATAAATAATGTAACTTACAATTAGTGGTAAAATAATTTATAAATTTTATTTTGTAAAATTCAAATTGTGAAATGTTTATTGTTCCAACTTTATTTTTTTTAGACAAATACATTTATGTATTCTTGACTGCTAATTTATCACAGAGAAATTCCTATTAAGACCAGCATACAATCACAAAATTTTTTAAAATCTTTAAACGGACAAAGTTAAAATACAATTGAATGGGGATTTATTTTTTTCACAAGATGCATTTGAAATTTAATATCCTTTCTTTTGCCCAAGTTCTAAATCACACCAAGTTTTAAACACTTTCACTGAGAATTTCATCCTGTATTAAGATTCAACACGTCAATGGAATGATAACATATATACTTTCTGAAAATATTAAATTTGGTAAAATTCTTTCTTGTGCGACAATGAAGAATCTTGCTGAGTTTTAACAAATCTGATAAGATTTTGATGGACACAGGTAATGACAATACATGTTTTCTTTAAAAACTGGTGAAAGCTAAATCAATGGTAAGACTCCACTGCTTACCATGTCGTTAATTTACAGTGATGGATGATTCATGGAAAAATATGCTCTGTCCATCTACTAACTAGTACCTTTAGAATACAATGTGGAAGAAAATGAACATAGCAGGATCAACTGTTTTATATTTGAACTACGCAAATTAACGTCAATCAGAGATCAAAGGCAATATAAAGTACAGACTGTGGTAGTATCACTGTATTAATCCTGGGATTATACAAGATTAAGGATTATCCTAATAGGTCAGAAGGGTGAAATAAATAATGACATAAAACCATATATTTCTAAAAAGTAAAGTGATTATAAGATCTCTGTATTAGTATGCCACATTGCCTTTTAGTTTACACATTTGTTATGGAAAATATAAATTCAAAATTGTTTCAAAATGAACTTCCTAAACATCCAAATACTGGGAAATGTACAATTGTTGCCAAAAAAAAAAATTCTTACTGGGAAATGTACCAAACTAGGTCATTTTCTGACTAACACATGGTTCAATTTTATTTCAATAATTGTTGACTCAATGACAGACTTTATAATGATACAGCGCGCACATGCTAACCATTCGGCTATCCCCCCAACCCAGCCATTATGACATGTTACTGCTGTTTTAAGAATTAAAGAGGCATTATAGGAGATTAGATAAAGAGTTGACTGTTTTCGTTATAATAGTAATAGAATATGTTGAAAAATTCAGTCAAATTGCTCCACTCTGAACCAAGATATTTAGCTTTGAACCCAATATCAAAAGATTTTAGCTAAACTTATAGGTTGTGCTTCCTTTTTGTACATAATGACCTTAAACCACACTTGCCCCAAAATTTGATCAAAATGACCATAGATTGGTCATAACTGCCATAAAATATAATGATATATATTTAGATAAATTTGGAATATTTGTTATTAATTATGAATTGGATGATATATATGCATAAAAATTTTGAACAAATTTGCTTGTTTTGGCTCATTTTGACCATATCATATTTATATCATCTGCAGGGGATGGCAAAATTTTTAATTCAACACATCTTTGTAATTGAAAAATGTTTGGATTGATATTTCTGTGTAAACTTTCAGAATATTGCCATTTGCAAGGATTTCAAAATCCCTTAAACAGAAATCAGCAGCTTTAAATTTGAAATTCAAGTAAAAATGATCTTAAAATAATTTACTAACCAGTGTCTGAGATCTTATGGTAAATTCCACCATTTTGAAATTTTCAAGCAAAATAATCCAAATCAATTATGAAAATTTGATGGTAATCCTTCATTAGTGAATATTCAATAATCAACTCTACATTTATCCAGTCACTGAATAATAATTTTTAAATTATCTTTTTCCAAACTTTAAAGTGTGCACTAATTATTCCAAATACTGAGATAAAGTCTGTGAAAACACCATGTTTTAATTTACCAATGTTTGCCTATCAACAAGGATTCATTCACTATGTTGATAGCAAAATTTGTAAGTAATAACAATATTGTGTAGTATGTATATAAGGTTTATGTCTAATCTCACCTATAGTGTATACCTATAGGTAACGACCTGACGTTCACCAATCACTTTATAAATTTCCCTATTGACTGGCATTGTGGTATAACACATTCATATCGAAAACTCACTTTACTGTAAAACTCTTTAAGCTCCATTCATTCATGGCTTGTGAATGCATAAGAAAGGTATGAAACATAAGTTAGGAAATAAGGAGCATTAGACTGTATATACAGTCCTTATATTTATTATTAATGCTTTGTTTTAATTTCTGACACAACCATACCAATTTAAGGACTGTATATTTTCAGCAGCAGTGAGTTTTATCATGGAGCGTATATTTTATCATCCAAATTATATGCTGTTTTCAGGTGGATGGCAAATGTTATCGCAAATGAAAATCCACTATTTCAAATTTTTTTATTTAAAATTTCATAAAGATTGTAAATTTTGAATACATGTATTTAGATTTTACTTTACAGCTACATACATATCTTCACATGAAGGTTAGGTTATACTTTACTGATAATAATCCATCAGGATGCAAGTGGTTCAACAAAAAACAAATAGTGATTTTAATTGATAAGTGATATATTAGACTAGAAAGATAGTTTATCATTGGGTCAGCTGATAAACTGAGATCATCTGTATTATAAAGTTACTCTAAGCTTTAACTTTAGATCATCCAAAAGGTGAACTGTGGAGCTACAATCTTGCCAAAATCGTTTTGAAAATGTAAATTTGTATAAATTTAAATTACTTTAGTTTAAATGCATGTTTGAGAGATGTTTAGAAATTGCTATCATAATAAGACAAAAACCAATATGAAATACTGAACTTATACATGTATGTATTGAAGTATTGCAATCCATATATATATTTGTAAGTGAAATCGTGTTCATTACATAGTACACCCTACATATACCATAAGATTTCTCATATTCGGTGTGAAGCATTGGGGTTTTGAGAGGATGAACCCTATTGATTTTCAGTATTCGGCATCCTTCCATTCTCGAGTTACCCTCCTCTCCCAAAACCTTGTGTACACGATAGAGGCTAGTTTTTAAAGTTTTTTCAAATTTGGAGTAAAGTATTAGGACTGTGAGATGATTGATGAACCCAATTGATTTTCAAATTTGAAGTGAATCATTGAGATCGGAGAAGATAAGCCCTGTAGATTTTCAGCAATCTAGGACTTTCTGTTCAAGAGATATATTACATGTTTGGAAAAGCTTGTGAAGACCATAGGGATCAGATTTCTTAAAGGCATAACAGGTCCTTATCAACATCCACATTTTCCTTTCTGATAAGCTGCTGTCTATGCAACTACATGTATGGCAATCTTCTTTTTTGAGACAAAGCTGTTGTGTGGGCATTTTTCTATGCTTTGCATGTTTATCTAGATGAATAATCCTAGTAATTCCAATAACATTTCCCAGAAACTCTCACATAATTACAAAATTTCAAAGTACACAATTCTGCAAATATAAAAAAAAAATAAATGTGCACATCCCCTCATCAAAAACTATCCCTGTTCATTCCTTATGTTTAAAAGAAAGAATATCAAAAACTTACAATTTCAATACATTTTTATATTTCCAAATAATCTTAAAAAGTTTGTAAAGTTAATGTGAAGACTGAAGAACTAAAATCAACTGGGTACACATCTCTACAACAAGAAGTAGGAAGGACCGACATTACAAGCTTTAATTTTGATCAGTATTCCTCATTTATGACTACAGTAATCAAAAAATGAATGTCCTTCGCTTGTTCAAAATAGTGTTAGGATTTCCTTCTAGCCAAACAATACCCACCGGTGTCAAAGACACAAAAAGTAGACAGATTGACAGACACGGGTAAAAATAATAACGATCCCAATAAAATTGGTGTATATAGGCCGATTGAAACATAAGATCATATAATAACATTCAGTAAAGGACTTTCTTCAATAAGCTTTTTATAAATCTATATTATTTCAAACACAAGACATCGACAAAGCTGGTTGAGCAGTAAGGATAACCCCACCATACAGGTGGATTTTAGAGTGTTTACGGTATTTAATCAAAAGAAATGGAAGACATAGTAATTTGTTGTATTGTCAAGCAGGTATTATAGCTTTAAAGTACCCAGGTAATATTCTCTTATAACATTATGACACCTTTTTATTGTTAAAACTCTACTACCCTTGTACCACAGTGTAGTTTAAACAGACATTAAAAAAGGTTTTATATAAGAAACATATTAAGCTGTATCGGAATATGCAAAGCTTTAGAAAAATATATATATAAAAAATATATATATATAAAAAATCAAGCAAAAAGTGTGAAGCGGAGACAATTTCATGATACGGGCAATAACTCTTTGATAAATAATGTGAGTCAACAAAAAGGAGTTATTTTTCATTCTGTTGGTTGATTTTGCAACCTTAAAAGAAAACAAGTCACATTTTACCATAGCAAAACATTGCTACGTAAATTAGTGATTCATTAAGGGGATCTTTAACATACACTTTTTCTTGCCTGGTCCTAAACTATGCACCACTGACAAGGGAAAATCAAACTGGAAAACCCCCAGACCTATTTCTGCAAATACAAGGGTCAAACTGGGGACCTCCTGGTTAGTGAGTCAGTGCTAACTCACTGAGCCACTGTGCCTCCGTCATCAATACTGACTGTCAAGTGCAATGAACTGACAGGTCTATAATGCGATTTTCTCTAGATGTTAACAGTGGAACCATCAAAATATGAATAAAGAAAATAACATCTGGTTTTAATTAAAATGTTCTGTTGACAGGGGCAACAATCTAAAATCTAGTAAATCCTGATTCTAGACTGATTAGATAGACAATATCACCAAGAAAATCAAGACATTTTATTCAGGTTTTCATTTTGCTTTGTTTTCCTTAAAACATGACTATCTAAACAATCTCTAATAGCATAATCTCAAAAATTTGTATCAGGTTTAGGTGACATGGGCAATAACTTTGTTAAAATTTGATTATAAAACCATAGTTAGTTGTTATTAATGTTAGCCCAAAAATCCCAAACATTTGGAGAAACAAAATCTGAAAAGAATACCTCTGATATGTAGAGTATTCACATTTGACAGGAAAAATCAATACAAACCTCTGAATTTTATTGTAGATGCAACTTATGACCATCCAAAGAACCCTGGTACTTTTAAAGACAAATATTGAAACTCTAAGCTTCTTTGATGATAGGACCAAGAATTATGAATAAACACAATGCCCAAATCTGAGTTTCGATAGTGTTTCTCCTTATCACTAGTCAAATAAATTTGAGCAATCCTAAGAATACAAAATAGTACTCTAAAACAATAAAAAATGAGCAAAAGTCACCATTTATAGTAAGCAAAAAATTTAGTTGTTCTTAGCTTCAAAAATATAACGCTATGAATTTTAAATTACTTAATTTAATCAATCTATGTAAACAAAATGTAAAATAATTTAAATAAATTTCTCAAAATTATTATATGCTACATTATGTGTATTCATGTATATTCAAATGCATCAAAATCCTATTTACAGGTAATTCCATATTCATATAACCTTGTATAACAAGGTTTATAATCATTCATTCCAAATACTGTGTCAAGGGGGACAAATCCATATAGCATAGGGATGCAGACTACCATTAATTTCCCCATTGACTTCAATGTTAATTTTAGCCTCTTTGCCCACCTCCAACTTTTCCCCAAATTTTCGTTGGGCTGAATGCTTTTCACTACAGACAGAGGAACAAATGGTCATGTCTTTGCACTAAAATTTTAATGAGGTTGGCCACTAAAATTTTGAGATACACAAACTTGAAGAAGCATACTAAAAACATGTAACTAGTTGCTGTACATATCACCGTAGCGAACCTGATAACCCCGTTATCATTCCCCCTCAAAATAATGAATATTACCAAAACCTGGCAGAAAACCCTCTTCGTCCATTTTAGACCAAAAAATCAACACAATTGGGCATGCAAAAGGGGAGAAAAGAGACAGAGAGAGAATTGCTATAAATAGACGAACTACAATTTGTGGGTACCGAGATGGTGAAATTTAATGGTGGTCTGCCTCCATAGGGTTTCAGACCAGTAATTCTCTCATCGTTGACTTCAATGTTATATCATTTAAACATTTCGATGACATAATCCTTATAAGTTATAACGACAAAGAGCCAAACATGTCACAATCAGCTGATAAAAATATTGAAAGGGAATGACCATCTTAATTGTGAAAGTTGATCGACATCAGTCCAAAAATGGTCAATGCCATTCAGCATCACGAAAGATGTGATCCATTGAAAATTCCTCAACATTCAGCATCCACTAACAGATGATATAAACAAGCCTGTGCCACCTTTAACTGTGGAATACAATTTCTAGATGTGCCTCTTCTTAATCAAATGGAATATATTGGTCTAGTTTTCTTAATTAAATGCTAGAAAACCAATCTAAGTTCATTTGATTATAGATTAAGCCATAAAAAAATAAGAGATGATCAGTGGCTTTAAACAAAATGAATTACCCCAAAAATTTGTGGCATGCAGTTGTGTTTTTTCTCAAGCTTTTTCACTAAGATAACCTAGTGATTAAGATATGTATAGCTAGTACTAATACAAATAAACTAATTCTAAATTAATCTGTATGTGTGTGTGTGTGTGTTATCTAATCTGTGAATATATATAAACGCATGCAGTTGGGTGCAATGTACATCCTGTCATTCTATTTTCAATATAATTTTATTTTTGTATTAGGTATACTTATATTAAAAGTATATAAGACTACATAAATAACATACTATGAATATCTGTGAAACATATTTTGTAAGTAAAACTAACTATCGAAATGCAAGGAAATTTCTTTACATATTGGTAGATCATTTTCTAATCCATATCATATATGTAACAACCTTCCCCAAATCTGGGAACATCTATC